ATTCTTTTACTAAAGGTACCCACAAAATAGATACAGGAAAGTGCCTTTCATGTCAATATTTAAATGTTAACATACTTTACAGACAAGGAAATAGGATATGTAAAAGAAGTTATATCTCGGCTCCAATGATAGCCTGATGCTAAAATTGACAGAGGCAAATGAAGCTGAAATTTAGAAAAGTCAACACGTATCTTCTCACAAGCTCTGGTACAAAAATACAGTATTCTGTTACAGCTATCAGAGCTAAATACCAATGAAGGAAATGTACACGTCTTGGTCTAATTAAGACTTGTAGAAAAACATGAGTGAGAAAATATAGACTGTCAAAGGACGCATATGAAAGACTTGATATCATAAAAACGTTACTTTCAGAACTTGATACTTTAAAAGGTTGCATAAAATGTTGGTGATAATGTGGGTAATAATAATGATCTTGAGTTTGGCATAGTCTGGTGCCAAGATAACAAGACTCACAAAGGTAATGATTTGCACAAGACCTTCAAAGGGTCTAGACAAAGATGGCCGTGACATCAAGGGCCCAACCCGAACTCATTTGCACTAGAAGTACTAGATAAAAAATCAAAAGACTGTTGAAAAACAACACACCTGTGGGAAAATAAAAAATGGTGCCCAACTCGCTCAGACCACAACTATTAACGTCACAATCACCACGCTACGATTTATACTACAATTTTCCCGATTTCAGTTATTGCTTGTCAAAGAGACATTCCACATTTCTCTGAGTTTTCTACATTTCCATGTTACTAGTATAAAACAAAATGAACCGAGGCACTAATGCACTTCTGCATGATTCATGTAAATTTATCAGCAGTCACCGTTGGTTCAAATGAATCCTGTGAACTAGAAAAACTTAACAAGGCCCAGCATGGCCAAGATGAGGGCCAAGGATGTCTGAAGTCCACTGGCGGAATTGACGTTGATCTTCCACCCCAGGAAACGGTGAGTGTAGCACTGTGATGAAAGAAAAAAACAAACACCAATAATAGATCATGTATTTTGATTGGCAGAGAGCCAGTCATGTGACATTTACTAATTTTGCTATCTTACTTTTCGCGGCCAAAAGAACCATACCTGTAGCAACCAAAGAACTATACGCAAGATCGCTGGCAATGTACGCAAATGCATACTGATGAGTGCACGGGGTGCATTCAGAGGTATTCACACGACAAAGTTTTCGTCAGTAAAATAATCCTCACATCCTACCTAAACCCAAAATCTGCTCGCAGAGAGATACAACTTGGTTCAGCCTAACTCTGCCCAGCAGAAGAAAGAGTGAGCCCAAAACCACTTCCCTCAATCTTCAACATTCAATTTCCCGAGCCGACAGGCTGAACTCCTCACCTGGTAGTAAACCACGTTCGGTGTGCTGTCATCTGGGGTCCAAGTGAACGTGTTGTTGTTTGCGCTGGTTTCTACACATGTGCGCTCCAGTTTTGTCTTGTAAGCCTCAAAACTGTCAAAGTCATCTGCGTTGACTCCCCGTTCGTTCTCCCCCCAGTTGCAGAAAGGGCCCTCTGCATCAATCACGCAGGAAAATTGAGGTGAGGGTCAACATAGGAGGAATAAAGCCTTCCTGATTATTTAAACAAAATGCCGGTGGATACCTTTGAGCAGTTTTTAGACGAAAGCTCAGGCAGGAGACCTATTTGGCATGCAAAACACTGGTGAGTTGAGCTCTGAACTTTCAAATTTTGTTTTGGGGATTTTTGAAAAAAGTACAGCGACACGCTATGTATTGGAAATTGCAGAAAGTCAGCCATACTGAATTAAATCAGAAACCCGGGAATAAGAAAAAGAACAATGCAATAAAACTCCTTGAAAATTAATGCCATTTATGCCAATAAATGATTTCAAATTTGTGATTAATTGCATCTTACTGTCTTAAAAGACGCAGGTTTCGAAAACTGGAACTGAGGCTAGGGACCAAAATGGTCTGGCACAACCCCATCGAACAGATTACATTGAATAAGATAGATTCAGGGAACCTAATAAAACATGGCATCCCTGTGAATAAGGCAAATGTAAAATTCACTTAAAAAAAGAAAAAGAAACAAAACATTAACAAAAAAGAAGCAAATGATGCCTTTAAAAATGACGCATAAGAAAGATTACTCACCGACTGGTCCTGCGTATATAGTCACCCCCTGGTATCAGAAAGTAGGAGGGAGGAACAAAAAAATTACAACTTTATCATGAACTCCAGAACCCTTCAACGTGCAACTTTGAAGAAGAGGGAATTTTTGCTCTAAGAAGTGATCTATATTGAAAAACAGAAAACCCACAGCGTCATGTGAATAATGGACCATCATTATCCTGTACCACTTTCTGTGCGTCCAGTTTCTGGGCGTAACCTCCCTCGGGATCGTCAGTGATGTAAAAGGGATGATATTTGGCCGAGTCCTCGCTGTTGTCCCCACCGTAGACCTCGAAGGTGTACTGGACGCCCCTCTCGACGGTGATCTCTGGGATGAGGAGATCGTTGACGTACCAGGCAATGCCCCAACCTGTCTTGCCTGCCAAAGGGGGGGGTGGGGAGATTGGAGGGGAAAAGAGCCGCTTGCATAATCCGGTCAAATATGCTTCCCTCCTCTTCACCAATACCAAAATAACAGATTCTTAAGAGTTTGTTTTTCAACAATGCCAGAGTCTTTCAACTATAGACAAGAGGGTGCCCCATTCACAGGGTGTCCTTGATTGACAAAAACACATGGGACGTCTTCCAAAAAAGTGAAGTATGAACAACAGAGCAACATTAAGGGGTCCCCAATTGCAGGCAAATACACTGCTAGGAGGGTACCCTTTAAGCATTTGAGATGGGAGAAAAATAATTCCCTTATTATACGGGCAAACAAAGAGCAAAAACTGTGTTTCTTTTGTCTTGTCGAATGCGAGTACAAGCAGTAACTTACCTGTTATGCCCGTGTAGCCGCGTTCTCCCCCAGATTGCCCGATCTCAACTCTAAACTTTGTGGCACCTCTGAGAGTCGTCGGGGGCCATGGTGGCAGCCTGTTACCCCCACCGGTAGATTCCTTAAAGGCCGGGCAGGTGGATGAGCCGCTGCCAAAGTTGATCTGGACGTTACCTGGAAAGGATTTGGTGATGTGCGCAGGTGAGACAAGAATCGTGCTCATTAAAGAGAGCATGACACAAAGAGTGATGAATGGGGGGCCTGAGTTTGTTTCTGCATTCAATTGGGGACCCTGAACGATAAGGTCCCCGATTAACAGAAGGTCCCGATTGGCAACTGTGTACAAAACATATGGGTGGTCTTCCAAAAAAGTTAAAGTACGAACAAAAGAGGAACAATAGGGGGTCCCCAGTTGCAGGCAAATACACACTTGAGTGGGTTGGTGCAGTGATTTTTTCCTTGCTTTCCATCTCTGTGACCCATGGGCTGGATCCAACCTAGGTTGCCATCAGTGTCGTAGTCGAGACCATCACAAGACCATACCCAAGACCCCGCACAAGATCATGTACAAGACCAGTCATAAGTAACAGGGTGAACGACGACGAAGGAATGCTTTTGTTGCAGTTCATTTGAATAGTTTGTAACTTGCAGACTGGAGGTCTTGCGTTGGTCTTGTGTGGTCTTGAGAAGTCTTAAGTGGTCTCGACAACAAAACTGGTAGGCATGTGGATTGGGTTTCTCTGGTCCCTATGTGGTTCCTGTGATTTTCCTCATTTTTTTATCAGGGATTTTTCTCCAACTTCTAAAACTGAATGTTTCTTCCCTGTGTTCTTCACTGTCACTTGTAATCATCCACTAACTGACACTCAACAGAAATAAATACTGATACGTACCCACACTTTACAGTTCAATCATTTCAGATTTCATGGGCTAGTTTGAAATCGTAGACATTGCTTGCAATACGAATTTCTTCACCCATTCTCTTCAGATGAAGCCATCCCCCTCTCAAAACTGGTACAGCCGTGCATTCTGACAGGTCAAAGTACCTATACAAAGTGGAATCCATGGTTTTGTTTTCTAGAATCTGCAGGACAGGAAGACACCAGTGGAAGTTACCTGTCGGTGCCATGATGTGCTTGGCAACCCGTCCATCTTGGTTGATGGGTCCAATAGCCCAGGAGATGTAGACCAGACGATCTGTAGGAATTACTTGGTCGATGGGATCACCTACAGAAGACAGACATTTTACCAGAATGAGAAGATTCACTGTTCACAAGTTATCAGGGATGAGATTGACCAATGATAAAAATAGCTGAAAAAGACATAAAGAAGCTGAACTGTGAAAATCTCCTCTACTTTTGTACACAGCCAGTGAGGAAAAAACCTGAAATCCAAAACCAAAAAAAGCTGAAATCAGCTGAATAGCTAAGAAATCTCACCCCCGAGTTATCATAACCCAACTACTTCCTTGTTTAGATTAGACAGATGCTCTCTTTAAGGAAACTTTCAATTTGGGAGAATTTCTCTTTCTTAAATGTGACGAGAAAAAAATGCAAGAAACCGACAAGACCGAATGACTTTTGAAACTTGCTCACATTTTCTCCTTTATTTAATGCCACAACAATCCCAATGCATAGTTTCCCAGCTTTTGTCGAGTGCCATCCTGCCCTGCTGAAGAGACCTAAATGCCAGAGGTTTTGGAAATCAGACAGCTGGACATTTAACTTGAAGACGTCAGTCTTGCATGTGATAGCCAATGCAACTGATGAAGCTCTCCCTCAAGACAAACATTCTCATCTTGTGAGCGCAGTAACAGCTTTGTGCCCCAAAAACCTGTGAGTGTCGGGCCTGGATAAGCATGGGAACAAAAGCTACTGGACTTCCCTGAAGCGGGTAGAAAGTAAAGACGAGACCGGCAAAGAGTGTCGGCATCCTGCACAGCATACTCAGGCTGGTACTCACTAGTGTTGAGGGGCCGCGTGTAGGAAATTCTGGTAATTCCATTGCCGAACAGAACGTCTCTCAGTTGGACGTCATTTGTTCCTCCCACCTTGTTGAGGTCATCTGGGCATGCCCCTCGACCATCATTAGTTGAGCACTTTGAACATAAAGCAGCAACATGTTTGAGTTTGACTGAGCAATAAATTGTCAACAACAGGGGACAAAGTAGATTTATGAAAGAACGCTGGTGTTACATACAACACACAGCCTGTTAACAGGACTTGGTCACTGATGGAGTGGTCTGTTGATTACTCAAAAGGCCTCCCTCCCTCAAAAATATTTCAAGTTCACAATGTCTAAAAGTACTAAAAAAAATACAAAAGGAAGCATTCACTGATCACAACAGCTTAGAAATAAGGCTTGTTGTAAGATTAAACAGGTATCTATGGCTGAGATGGAATGATAAGCCAGTTCCATATTCCAACAGCGCACACCGTAGTGGGGCCCAAGGCTATTTGGGAACAGAGGCACCCACAACTCAGTGCAGCAACATGCCGACTCACAGAAGTGCTCTGTTCCCGAAAGATCATCAATTTTACAAATTAAGGAACTAGTTCACATCCCCTTGGTCCTGATCTCCCTCGGATCCTTCTGGTTGAGGGACGTCCATTCAAGCAACAAGAAAATTTCACATGGTGCTGGATAAATGGTCCTAAGGAGCTGAAGTCCAGGGAGTGCGCTGGCAAGTTTGGTGGACCCTGAGCGAACCCAGCAAGAATTTACGATAATATTGATAAGCTTAGAATCTTATATGGCTCCGATTTCGGCTCCAAAGTATTTATTGAGCTTTCCTAAAATATTACTAGCTGCTTCAGCAGACCAGATGCATGAAACAATGTCCCTAAACTATAAGAGAGTGCCCAAAATGTCTGTGAAAAGTGAGTTTGACCTCAACGCCGAATGCACTGAAAGATTGCGTGTAACGTACTGGTACTACATCCCAACCTAAGGAGAGTGTTATGAACTATGGGAGATATCCAGTTATTCCTGAGAGTAGACGCCACTCACCTGTGCCTTGGACTGCAAGTTGTAATCCACCACCATGGGGCTCATGCTGTTTTCGTCCATCCAACCCACTACAACATCCGAGCCGTCCATTAGGGTCCGGTCGGATGCCCCACTCAGCCCAAATGAAAGGTAGTTGCCGGCAGTGACGCGACCAGCCAACTCAACTGTGATGCTGTCCTCCTCGCCAAAGTCCACCCGCCACTGCACTTGGAACTGGTCGTCCACAAGAACCTCACAATTTGGGAAGGTCTTTAAAAATACCGGAAGGGGAGAGGGGTGAATGGAGCTTCTACGTAAAACTCTAGCTCATTTCAGGTTTATTATGCTGATTCAGACTCATTTCACATTCATATGCTAATTCAGACTCATTTCATATTCATATGCTAATTCAGACTCATTTCACATTCATATGCCAATTAGACTCATTTCACATTCATATGCTAATTCAGACTCATTTCACATTCATATGCTAATTCAGACTCACTTCACATTAAAGATGCTAATTCAATCTTATTTCATATTCATGACCATTTACATAAGGACACAGGAGTGTTATTCTTCGTCCTGATTTCATCTAACCATGACTTCTAGCCTCCTGTTTCAATGGGCAACTTGTACAATAATATTTCTTATTTTTGAGAGTTGGCTCTGTGACGGCAAGTTAGCACTAATACTTTTGAACCCAAATCAAGTCCACCAGCAAACAGAAACACTGATTTCAAACTCACATTTACCTCTTTTGTAAGCAATATGCTTCTGTGTACGTGCAGGCAGAAATAAGCATTAGTGGTTATGCATGAACTGGGCACTGAGTTAACACACAGCATGAACACTGCTTGTTCCACGCACAACCACCTAAACAATTTTTATCTTTTTTGACTAAAGGTCTCACTGTCAGACAATGGAATTCCACTGGCCGAGGCAAATTAGTTACTGAGAGATATGCTTTTTACACTTCAATGTACAACAGTTACATTACCGGTGGGGGTTCCAACACAGCAGGGACATTGATGGTTGCCGGGTCAAAGCTGATACTGCCAAAATTCTGTCTTGCGGCAACACACCACAAGCCAAAGCTCTGGTAGTCGTAGATGGTCATACCTGGTGGCATGGTGACCGTGAAGTCTTCCCCGTTAAAGGGCCTGTCAAGTCTCTGATTTCGTCCGGCATTTGTTAGGCTACAAGAGACCATAATTACTCACTCATTCAAAGGGTTTGATGGTAGACTGTCCAGAGGTTTGCTACATTTCTCACTACAAAAAGTCTTCCTGTTAAAAATGTTCTAGGCTTGAAGTACTGAATCTCTGGGTGAAAGAAGACAAGTTTGGAGGTGAAAACGTCTTTGACTACAACACCACACCCAGGACTGGATATCTGAGAACTTAAGACTGTTTTTTTTTTCTGGATATATTTAGACCTGCTTCAGGCTGTCTTTCTTACATCCATGAAGTTACATGTAACTTCTATAGATGTAGGCCATTATAAATAGATGGGAGAGTCACTAATTATGGAGACCCATTACCCATTGTGTTGCACAAACTGGCTGTCAACACACAAATCCTGACGTGTTTTACGGTGACTATATTCGACGATTTGGAAGGTTGCGACAGAACTGCTGGTGAAGCAGAGCACATGTTGAGGAACACTGTGACTGTTACATTGCTACAGACAGCAGAGACATTACTTGAAGACGGAATAGGAATGAACTGTGTACAGTCCATCATGTGGGTACAATTCATATAGGTGTGAATATACAAGGAAAAGGACTGAATAATGCATCTAAGAACTGGCAATTAGGACTAATCATGGCTTAAAAGTTCTTCACCTTAAAGTGATAACTGTGAGGTGCTACTTGACAACAAATTAATGATACATGAAAGGTTGAAGTTACTGTTTAGACAATGTTACACCACATACCCCGGCTTCCAAATGAGCTTTGTCCCCTGAGATGTTAGGGATCGTCCACTGTTAGCCCAGAAATATGCATCTGATCAAATGAAAGACAAAAAATGTCAACCTGCAAACCAAAGGCTCGACATTTCATTCTTTTCTCTTTCAGAGTCAGGGGCAGTCGTAGTTTTCAATGGTGATTGAAAAATCGTCAATAGAACCAATCTCCAGCTGCAATGTGGGAGATTGATCAAAGATGGCAGAGCGGGGGGGGGAGTACAGCAGGGAGGAGTTTTAGAGGAGGTAGGGGAGACTGTCTTTCCGACAAATCGGGGGTTTAGTAGAAGTACTAGAAGTTGGACAGGTGCTTTTTAAAGATAACTTGAAACAAAGTTCAAATGAAGATCATTTGTGTTTTTCCATGAGCACCAATCATTTCGAACAATTATCTACATATCACATGCGGTAATCTAAATAATTCTTGACCATGTCAAAAAGCAGGAGTTGTAAAACTTTTCACAAGTGTGAAAATAAAGGATCATATACATGTAGTTAAAGACCTTACAATCCACAGCCTACATGTATGTATACATGTACACAGGTACCTGGTCCGTTGCCATCATAAAACAGGTTTGTAAATTGGAGGGTTCTGGCGTCTACGATTCGCACGTTGTCTGCCTCGACATCATGAGCAAACATTGGCAATTTACCCAAGTCGTGGGGGGCAGGGTTGGCAAAATTGCCAGGAATGAAGACCTCACCAAAATTGGCCTAAGGACACAAAGAGAAAAAAACGGCAATAGTCAGAAGGTAATATACTGGTTTTTGCTGACAAAACTAACGGGGTGATTCCATTAATTCAAGATCCAAAAGTGTGGCCTTTTTGTGTCCCTGTTACACCTGACCTGTGTCATTTTACACGGAAATACCACTGAAATTGACTTCAAACTTTTTTTTCAGGTAATCTGCATCAATTCATCACTCTTGGAAATGGCAGGATGCATTCTCAACTTACCACATCATATGCTAGATGTGACAGGGACAAGAAAAAAAACTGGACCCCTAATTTATAGAATGACCCTAATAGACATATGACACTGGAATACAACCTGAAATGTTCACCCAAATTCAATATGCAAATAGTGAAAGGGGTCCATAACTGTTGAATAAGTTGACCGCCCCATGCAACGAGCACTCTGCACAAGATTAACTTCACCTACTCATGTGTGCCAGCAACAACTCAACGACCAAGTATTATTATTATTACATGTTATTATTAAATTATGGTTTATTTGACTGTCCATAGCGGCCAGCAAGCTGAATTAAGAACAGCTTACACAAGATAATATAAAACAACAAAGGTTACAATACGTAAATTAATATTCATATACCTGTAATATTACCATAAAAATTGTCAAATAAAATACATTTACAGTGTTACCGGATCAGAAAGTTAATGTTCAGCTGGATCCAGTGATGTTAAAAAAGGAATAAAAGTCACTTCTCACAGCTTCAACTTGATTTTGCAAGAGTTTAATCCTCTTCTTTTAGACTTACAGTAGCCATTCGACACCAGATTGAGATCCACTTGTAATCCTTTATGGTCATGGGACCTTGTAAATAGGCGACCAGGTTGCTTCCCCTGTATTCGCCCAGCTTAGTTTCACTTCAAAGGGTTTCATGTTGGAGAGAAAAGAGGGAACCAGACCAAATGAAGTACTTGTAACTCTGTGGTTTCCTGTTAACACATTCAACCACAATGGAATGGAGCAGTCCACACACATCCTAAAAACACATGGTTCTTTGTTGGAGAAGTTACATGGAGTTTGCAGGAATATTATGATATAGAAAAATTGAAATGATTTGTTTTCATTAACATGACACGCCTGAAAGAGTAATGTGCTATTTTTCAGGAAGCATTCTGAAAGTTGGAATTGTAACGACTTCCTTCGTGCAATGCACGCACTGTAGTAATGCCAGCAGGCGAAGGGCACCTCCGTTTCACTGGTCAACACAGACAGCAACGCCTGTTCACAGTTTGGAGGGAAATGAATGGTTACCTGGGGGAGGGCTTGGCTCTGCCTAACATGAAGTGAGCAGGCTGCAAGGTTGCCAATCCCTAAATTCGACACTTACAAAAAATGGGCGGGAACCAGGCCTTACTTGACACCTCAGCATGCTCTCAGTGGTACCATCGTGAGTGCTCATATCAGGCAAAGGTCCAACAGGGTAAAGGGTAGATCTAGAACGAAATTGCTGGGTGGGGGAGGCAAACTAATCATTTGGAGATGGGGCAAAGTTTGGTTTCATGTACCTTTTACGGACTTTCTGAGGGGTGAGGCCAACTTTGAGGGCTTTCCACAAACTTTTGAAAGAGAAGGAAATGAAATGCACCAGAAATATCTTTGGGAGAGAGGGCATGGCCCAGGATCCCCCTTCCCTGGATCTGTCCTTCAACAGAGAGGAGTGGATAAGTGACACATCTATAGGGAACCAACGTCCCATTTTTGTCAGATAGTTGGGACACAGTAGCAGAACTCACCTTCCAGGGACAGTTGGGACAATGGTACCTGATGCATCAGGTTGAGCTGTCATCCCAATCCAGACAAATGAATCTGACCAAAGAGGAATAGTTCATGAAAATGCATTACTGTAAAACACAACACCAACATGTACATGCAGTAGTCATTTTTGGATCACAGTATGACATTAAGTAGTGTTCCTGTTTTCACCTCGGCAAAATAGTGCAAACTCAGCGATAAAGTGAAATCAACTGTGCTGAATATGGCGGGTCTATTGTTAACTGGAGTCCATGCTTTGGGGAATTCTTAGGGCTTGATAGTTTTATCGGATGAGAAGACGAACCTGGTGGAGTGCCATCGAAATGGAAATTTTCGATGACAATTGTCTTAGCATCTGCAGCTCTGACAGTCCCTTGGACGTCATGACCTCGGGATGACAGGTCGCCAATCGTCCGACCCAAGTATGGTGCAGCCACACTGATGCTTGCTGCCAAGGGGAAGGGGAGACAAATACCAGACAAATGATGTCGGATCCAGTCTAGACAGTAACACAGGTTAAAGTTTGCCTGGTCATGGTATACCCGTGCAGTATGTCCCGGGTACCTGGGACATAATTTACGCATGGGTTACCCAGGTTCAATCGAACAGAACAGTGTAGGGTAGTTGACAAATTTTTACATAATGAATGCGAAATTGTGAGGGATACTGCGACTCCCTGTGACACCCAAGACCCATCCCCCCTCAAAATGACTGTCTTCAAGCAGTGATGAATCAACTGACTCTTATTTTGGGGTCATCCACCATTAGTTAATTTAGTTGGCTGGTATACCCGATTCATTTTTTGCAAACTACCGTACCATAGACAATGAGCCAGTGTTTGATGAACGGTAGATGACTGAATTTATAGCCCAACTACTGTACGGTTGTACGGTACATGTATTTGGGAAAGAGTGCACCTCCTCTTGGTGGGTCCTGCGCTAAAAAAATTCCACTGCTTCTGCCTGCTGCATATAGTTTGGCTTGGGGTACATGTACAGTATGTACGATTGTAATACAGACGATTTATAAAAGTGCACTTCCAAGAGTTTGCAAAGCGCTGACCAATAACGTGTGAAACCTGTCGACCCTTTCCAAATGCACATTGGGTCGACAGATGTCGCGCATTTATGATTGGCCAACGCGTTGCAAACTCTTGTAGGTGCACTACTGTAAATCGCCCACATTGCAAGGAGATTGCTGCCACAGAGGTCACATTAATTATTAAATGTAAATGAACAAGTGTACACATGTACATGTACTTGATATTAGGGACCACAGAGGGAAAGTACCACTTCATTGGGAATATTTCAACCCTTCCAAACTGTTTTACGACATTATAATGCCTAGATCTTGGAAAAAAATCAACCGAAACAGCAAGCAGTCAACAGAGATACATGCACCATGTTTTCTATAAATACATTAACAACCCAGGACGTTCTATAGGCTTTATATGCAGAGCCGGGGAGCCCAGAACTGGGACAAAAGAGTTGGGCCTTATAACAAAAGACCATGCTCAGCACAAAAGACTGAGCTGCTAGGCATTACCGACATTTGTTTGCTCTCAATAGTGGAGATACATGTAATCCAGCCTTGTTTTGAAACAGTATACCACAGTTTGAGGCATTTAGAGTGAGGGGATTACCACTGGGGACAACAGCTCTCACCACCGCAGAGATGAGCCACACAGCACCGCTGCCCGCAAGTCTGGCCCCTATTGAAAAGAGGTCAGCGGTGCACTGTGATGGTTTCGGGAACAAAAGAATGTTACGTAATACTGCACAACAATGGGCTCTTTTTCCAAGGCTGCAGGCCTGGCTGAAATAGTCAAAGGTCAATTCATTACTGTCAGCTTTAGGGTAGTGCCCAGTATAAACGGCCATTAAATGAAATGATGAATTTTTGAAGAATTTTGAAAACGGAAAATCTTGAAAAGAACCCGGCCTCTTGTCTTGCTCAAGAAAAATCCACCCGGCAGCAAGTGGTTAATGGCATAAAAGGCCCCAGGCAGATAACCTCCACTAATTTCCTTGTAAAAAGCAGGCACTGTAATTGCATATACCAGTGGGTTTATAAATGTATCTTGGGGATAAACACGAAGGCCTGTGTACTCGTAAAGCTGTTTGTGACTGATTCCAGGTTTGACATACTGACAGGCTTAGCCTGAATTTTGTTTGTTTGTTGGGATGTGGTGCGTTTCCGTTTTTTTGTTTGTTTAATGAAGTCGTCTTCCAATTCACCGGTCCATGTCACTTCACACAAAGTTATGTACATTATGCTGACAAAAACAGTCTAGGCAATACACACATGTGCATGTATATTGAACACTTAAATAATGTACATGTATATTGTTCAAGTAATTACGCATACATGTACATTAACAGTAGAACCAGTCCAAGGAAACTACCCGTACAAAGGCAAATTACGCCCACGCTAAGCATATTTAATCATAAATTGGGAGGGGGAGGTGAGTGGTAAACAAGCTTCCTGTTCATAAGCAGGTGTCTAGCTAGTCATGCAGTAGGACACTGACTTCCTGTTGTCTCAAGTGACCACTGGCAAAAGCTGTCTCCGGACAGCTCATCAAATCAATTACGGTGCCATGACTACCAACTGGCTTGTCCTGGCAATGGTTCTTGAGTTGTGAGTTCAGTCATTATTATTTTCGGTTACTCAGAATTTCTTCAGTGAGAGTTTTGTGGATTGAGTAGTAGCATTAGCAATATACCGTATCCTACTCAACGGGGCACTTTGGCAACTAACTGCAAGATGTACATGTACCTACATGTACATGCCGGTACATGCAGCGCACTTTAAGTGGCAGCAAAGTTTCACTTTCATTCAGTAGTGTTTCCGCATCACAAGTGGACTCAGTCAGGATTTGTTTCCACATCAATTAACAAAATGCACAGAACTCAATTATCACTCCAAAGAAAAAGTGCCCAGACTCTCATTCTCAAATGGTTTTCATGGCGCTCTTCAATGGAGAAACCACATTTTTTTTCCTATGCACGTGACGCATGCCCGTGGCCGACAGAGCGTAAAACACACAATATACTGCCAAGGATACGGCAAAGCGCACTGCCAATGGAAATGATGTTTGCCAACTCTGCACACCTGGTACCTGGTGGCACAAATAACCTGAACACTCGCTATGCATTATGCCACTAGACTTTTCTTCACCTCACTTTCATGTGCTTTCAGTCACTGAGAAGATTGAATCGTCTCTCAAACTGTGATAAGCCACACAGAACGCAAAGCTGCCTTTGAAATCCCATTTATAAATGAACTCCCATCAATTCCAAATTCACATCTAAAAATTAAATCAATGCAATGGATGTCCATTACATCTGGATTGTTTTAAGAGTACTAAATTTGTTGGCCAGAATTTTTACTTTTGATAAATAATGAAAAAAAACTAAGTACGGCAATTCTTAACACTTTCTGACATGCTTCCCACAGCAGGATTATGCCCCAATCACCTTGTACATGTATGTACTCTACTGACACTGATAATTAATGCACGAATCAAATAGGTTTACACAGTACCAGTAACTGTATGAACTATCCTTGAACTGTTAAGCGGTTCATCCATAGCTCTACAGTAAAGAAGTCATGGATGTGGCAATGACAAATCTCCTTTCCCATGTCCTTCCTCCGCTAAGCGGCATTCACTTCGCCATTTCAACCAAAACACACATCTAGGGCACTGTTCACACCCTTTGTGTGACATTTCTTTGCAGCAAGTTGGCAATTTATGCAGAGGTCAGTTTGATCATTTCACCAACAGGTAGTCCAAAAGTGGCACTACATGTACTTGGTCATTTTTCCAATTGACAGTTTTTCAAAATGGCTGCTTTTCTAGGCAGGGAGATTTATTCATTTTAGGGGTGGTCTGCTTCTGGTAAAAATTTCTCCAAAATTCATTGGTCAACCCCCTGAAAAAACTGAAACGATCATCGTTTTTCTGTGCAGCCTGAACACTTGTGAGAGTTGTGAGTAGTTTTTTAAGTATTTGTGAAGTATTGGGATTTATCTTGCTGTCTATGGGAATTTATTTGCTGTGCACCCATAAAAAGTGTTTCGTTCATTTCCTTAACAAGGAGGAGCCAGAACTAATATACAAAAGGATTTGCTGGCTCTTAAGCAGACTGTATATATGTCAAGTCTCTGTGTTTTAATAAGTGTGTAATTAATTGGTGTTTATTTTGATGTTAACATTATAATGATTGTAACCTGGAAGTCAAATTTCCCTTTTTTATCAATGTGACGTGACCAATAACAAGTTGAATAGAATTGAAATGACTGCTGAATTCGAAAGATTTTGAACCTCCATTTAGAAGGCTTTAAAATTGGGTTTATAAGAGATAAAATTAACCAAACTAAAGGAACTATAAACAAGAAGTGGACTTGGAAAAAGAATGCAGGCAAGAACAAGAAATATTCATTCTTTTCTTGGCCTGGGGTTTGATTTCATTAGAAAGAACTGCTATCATTAAAACCATGAAGAATTTTGTTCCTGAGTTCCAATGAACTTTGAATGATCTAATTCATGCAGATAGAATATGTCAGTTTTCAGGGGGGGGAAAGGACAGCTACAATGAAAAAAGGAAGAGGAAATAACTAAGAGCTGCATGAATTCAAAGAATTGCTTGTGAGCATGCGACGGTCAGACAGGAGATGAAGTGTTATCCTTGGACTACAGGCACGTGCAGTCATCGAAAGCATCATCAACGTAATAAAGGTACTGGGGATTTCCAAATTCATCGGTGCATTTTGCAAAAAAAATTTACTGGCCTTACAACATGTACAGACACATCCTGGAAAAAAAACAGAATGTTTTATGCCGAGTCATCAACATGCGCAGCACCGGCTGGTACAAACTTGGTTTAAAGGGACCATGAAATAGAAATATTTTACTAAATCCCTTGAAATTGCACCTTTCCGTTTCCGTTTACCTCATTTCAAATGTTTGTTTTCCAATTTTAACCCATATTTTGGCACTTTTCAGGCTTTTATTCTTACGACATTTGCATATTTATGAGCAAAAACTATGAAGTCATCCGAGGCAATGAGCCTCAATGTTGCACTGATTTGTGCACAGGAAACTTCTACTTTTTTTCTATTTCAGTCCCATTGGCAATTCATTGTGTAAATATATGGCAACAAGCAAGCAAGCAACATTTTCATAGAAATGGTTTCAAATAGCAAATTTTGAGTTCACAATGTGAATATAAAGACATGCAAACTAAACCATGGTTTCCTGCATTTACATCAAATCAAAGGTGACCTCACTTGTCCAGAAATGCCTCAATTTTGAACGTTTACAAAGTGCGCTTTGAGTTCACAAAACTCAAAGAACGGTCACACCGTCCTCATACACTGAAGAAGAGTACAGAGAAACATAAAAAGTGATTCTAAGAGAAATTCATTTCCTGGATCTTTGGAATCATAACCTCTCTACAGTTGGCATATACCAGTACACACCGGTACAAGTAAACACATGTAATCAAACAAAAAGATGAACTTTGTCATTCTCAACCAAATGTACAGTGTACATGTACTTCGTGAACCGTGTTGACAATGTGTCATCAGTATTGGCAGTAAATGCCAACATCCTTGATGACACAGATAAAACTTGAAAATGTGAAAAAAAAAACCTAGTAACTACAGGTAACTGGAGGAGTGTTAATATTTCATGAACGCACGTAGCTGGCAGCAGAACGGAGCTAAAACCTTCTGTTGAGTGAGAGTTGATTTATTCATTAACAACAAAGACACCCATTTTTGTTTACTTGAAAATACTTTATTTTACCTAAATTAATATGTTCAATCCTTTATATAACCAACATGTAGTTATCAATCTCTTACAATGTACCATTAAAATGTATTGATTGGAGTTTGTTTTGACTTTCAGGGATTTATAAAAATAACTGTTAAACAAACCAAGAGTACAGTTACATGTACATTTATGCTCTATACTGTCAATAGATACATGTATTTCTTTTGTTTATAAACATTGCCTTCTGGGGGCCAAAGTTTGCAGAGATCACCAAGACTGGAAAAAGCTTTTGCCCCGGGAGGAATTGAAAGGCAGATATTTTAATTTCATATTTTAGGTCTAGTGAGGTTTTTTTAGAACACTTTATGTACAATTTTTTGTGGTTTCTGTAATGAGGCCTGATAGAGCAGAACTTTGCTCATGACTAACGGCAAGCAAGAACCAAGAATGACACAAGCAATAATAATACGTGTACTTCACCCAGAAATTCTGCATCTTGGTCGGCCAAGAGCCAGTCACATGGCGTTTGCTGTTTTTTCTATCTTGCTTTTCACCGCCAAAGGCTTTATTAAGCATGTACAGGCAAACGCAGGAAGGTTTCTTTGTATGAGCACGCCTCTGCCAGAAAGATTTCCTATTGACCGTCCTATTAATGTCAGGTACCGAAATCGGGGCAACCAAATCATCCTACATGCAACACATTATTGTCCATGCAGGGCACCCACAAAGGCCCAAGAGTACCGATAGCTCCTGTATTATTTCTCTCAGAGTCAAAGTACTTTGCCCACAACAACCAAATATACATGTATATAAAGATCATTACTCATGAAAACCAGCATTTCAGGCCTCTTGAAGTGCGAGCACAACAGAACTAGGTTGCAAACATTTCATGAACAGGTTGTTTGGAAGACTGCTGGTAAATTATCCAAATAAATTCTTATTCAAATAGATGTACACTCCCTTTCAATGTACTGAGATCAAATAATACAGTTATTATTTGCAAGTGTGGTGTAATCAAACAAATAGTGACTACTGCATCTCGTGGTATAGTCAAAACTAACCTCCCTCGGTGAACCATGGAGCAGAATCTAGTTTCCCTGCACTTTGCCACTGGAAAAAAGAACAGTTTTACTGCACCACTGGAAAGCAGTCAATATTTGTTTACTAGATAAGGGTCTAGGTAGAAATATAACTGAAGGCTTACCATAAGCAAGCAACAACACCCCAGCAAACCACTGCATGACTGCAACACTCGATGCTCCTCTTCAGAATTAGGCCCTGATGTCTGAACAAAATAAAATGTCCGAGAGAAGCAGACCAGATTAATTGTCAGGTTGGAAGTAGCAAATGCGCTTTCCTGATTCAGTCGGCAGCTAACTTTTGGTATCGGTGTTCTGTCTTGATCTTTATGGACTGAGCGAAATTATGTTTAAAGCAAATACTATCACAACATGTTGATTGGAAATGAAACTGATGGCAAGTTGAAGCCTGGGTAAAATCTCTCAAGTGGAATTCTCTTCTCAGCATTGAGAGATTTCATAATGCAACTGCATCACACAGTCAAGTGGTAATATAGGCTCATTCAACATCATGAAAAACACAACCTTTTGCTTTGAAACTGTTCAGAACATGGGAGACATGGGAGATGTCGAGAAGAGTGAATATTTTGCCTTGACTGGCCGCGTGTTTTTTTTTCAAAACACACATTGATCCAACATTGACCAAGGGAACACAGGGGGGCCGGAACGGTTAAGAGAACAGCCTTGTCAAAACATGATGCCACAATTTTTAAGCACTTCAACTTTTTTCCTGCCCCATGATTATGCTTATTGTTTTCAAATCAAACCCACAGATAAATTGCAGAATTTTGCACTTCTTTTCATGATCCATGGCTCTAGAGGAATTTTTAATGGAAAAAAGACTGAAATTGCACAGCATATTTACACAGTCCTAAGTTATATCTCATGAAAATGAATTCAAAAAGACAAAGTAAGCATGGCATGATGGAACAAGAGGAACATTTGTCTCGGCTACAAATAGAGTATCCAAAACACTTCACCTGTGCATCGTTTGTAGCAGGAATGGGTCATGATTCAATGTTCACTGCCTTTAGTTTTATCGACACCGTGAAGTGAGACACCCTCGAATAGTCCCTGTACTCTTAGAGCCAGTCTGAAAGACTACCTCCATATCCCTGGAAACAACCTGTAGACCAATCCATCGGACTGGTCGGGGCCAGTTGGGGACTAACTCTCCACAAACTCAACTTCCGCACAGAAGAAAAACAGTGGCTTTGTACAAGTAGCTAGTCCAGAAAACTCCACAAATTGCCTCTTGGAGAGTCTCAATTCCACATAGGTCAGACAACATGTACTTTTCCCATAAAATGTTAACACAGTCGTCAGAAAGTGATACATGTATGTCTTAAACAGTGAAATTTAGCTCAGAAAATTCCAAAACATTTACGTAGAAAACACTTGGCTTAGACAAGTCTCATAGGTTTGTGCACTGGAGCATCAAATGATACTGTGATGCTGTTTTTCTTTGCCTCTTTTGCATTGGTCACGGTCAGGCAGTTGAAGATCATGTAAAAAGTGATTTATAGATGCATGTTCACACTGTACATGTCATTCACTTGCAATGCTCGGACTAACATTAGATTTCAGCCATATAATTTCATTTCAATCTAGTATAGGATCCTCGAAGGCAGAGTCATCAATGCTCAATACATGTGATGCAATTTGCAGTTAGCACTCAGTAAACCCATGGATGTAGAAACAACCTTAGCTGTATCCATTTGACATGCTCACAGCTGATCTGGTGACGGCATGTCATTTTCAAGATTAATTTATTTCGTCCATGATTGCAGCGATTAGGCATAGGCAAAATTAAAACACAAAATCAGTCTGCAGGGCATTTTTATTTTATTTATTTCATTTCTCGGGGAAACACAGGTAAACAAAACAGACGGTAAAACATAAATGTATGATGGAAGAAAGGACAAAACCCAACCAGTCCCCGATGGATTGCCCAAAAGAAAAAGATCCCAATTTCCAGTCGACTGGCTCTCTCCAGGCTGATAGGCCGGCTTGTTGCTGTACATAAAACACTTAAATATTATACTAAAATATAAAACCCTACAATTGTTTTTCACTGGAGAAAACACAACCTTCTCTACTTACCACGCTCTCCAAAACAGCCACAAAAGCGAGGATACCGGGTGACAAGAGCGCAGCGCCAACTATGACTTTGTTTGATTTGAATGAGTAGGCGAGGCGCGTCTACCCCCAATTTTAATCCAAACCTGGCCGCAAAAACACAATGAATGAACGTGACTAGGTGTTCGAGTATGTTCAGTCTGGGCGCGGCCCCTCCTTCCGGCTCCATTCTCCGTTCAACTGTCACTGTACTGTGCGTAGTATATAGTATGGGTTCGGGTTATCGTCATCACGCGGTCGCGGTACGCGTGGACGTCATCAGAAACCGCACTCAAGGACGAATGCCGCTGGCGGAATTGACGATGTCCTTCGATGACTGAAACGGACAATACTCAGCGAAAGTGCCATTAAATTTTACAAAGCCTTGCAGACATGCAGGGGTGGGGCGATGAAAAATACATGAAATCGAAACACGAGACCTTGTTGAAACAAAAACCAACTGATGTGCTAGCAAGGTCTAGCACGTGCGTGCCTGATAGGGGCTTTTCCGGCAAGTGCAGGTTATTTGGAATCCGACTGAGCGTGAAACACTCCCCCTAAAAACTGCTGACAAAATCCGTGAGACAATTATTTCCCAACATTTAATTGATGTGCGCATATTTTCACCCCAGCATTTAAAGGAAGACTTCAGAAATAACGACTTCTCTGTTGGATGTACAATTATTGACAATATACGATGACTAATGCCACTTTTTATTTATTTAAAACTCGTGCAAAAACACACTAAATATTTAAAACAAAAAAATAATACGAATAGGATTCATCCCTGGACTTTCATTTCACATCCACAAAACGGGATTGCTTCCATTAAAATTTCAATCCTTAATGGGTAGAAATGAGCCATCAGGAAAGCAAATTAATGACACTAAAATGAATTCACCATAACAAAAAAAGTAGGCGGGAGTTGAGCCGTGCAGGTGCACTTCTAGGCCAAGAAACATACTGTGATCTTCCTAGGTTCAAGCCATCATGTACAACACAGGATTCCAAAGCCTATTTCAAAAATACAGTACTGTGAAGATTACATTAAATGCTTGCAACGGAGAACGATGCTCAAAATCTCAACTGCTCATTAGTTAACTATGATAAACACTTCCAACCAACTTGTACATGTGGCCCTTTCAATACAACAAAATCTTCAAACTGCATCACAATCAACATTGCTTCAATGCAATTCACCTTTATCTATAAAAAAACCATTAAAATTGTGAATTTGTTAAATTTTTGTCATGTTCTTGCTTAACATTTCAGCATTGAAATACATGGTAGTCAGGTGCAGATCGCCGGGGGGGAGGCAAACCTCCTGCATTAACACCAAAGTCAAAAAAAAGTACGAATAAAAAAGATAATTAAACATCTGACAGGCTTGACCCCTCCCTCCCCCGAAATCCCTGGATCTGCCCCTGTAAACACTGTAATATTTGTCTTAAAATCACTTTTATATAGGTAGTCCATAAATATATGTAAACTACATAGTTTGTGTCAAAAGAAAAATGTGGGCTATTTGTGCTAACATTTGGTAAACTTTATGCCGCTTGTAAGCGCCAACGATTTTTTTTGTTAGTAGCTATTTCAGCGTGGCGGCCAGAAGCAAACCTATCACCAGCCTAACAGATACTGTGGGAACTGCTGCAGAGGAGCTTATGTCGATCCTGAAGCCCATGCCAAAGTGGGTGTAACTCTGCAAAGCACAAATCATCCATGCCAGCGTTATTTCAAATCAAGATCAAGTTGCAATGCGTTTGAATTTAACCAGTTTGATTTAAGAATGAAGATCAGTGAAGTGGGCGCGTGTTAAGACAATACTTCCTGACAGTTCCAAGCAAGCTGTCTATGGTTAATTGTGCCAAAGGTCTAGTCCCTTGACTTTTTTGGCTTGAACAGAATATAATGGGGACCATGTGTGTTCCATTCTCTGAACGGTCAGCCTACCTGGTAATACACGGTGTCTGGCGTCGAACTGTCCGGTGTCCACTCCAGAAGTCCCCCGATGACCCTCTCATTGCAGTCCAGTGTTAGGTGAGCCTGGTACCCCCCAAAGCTCTCAAAGTCGTCAGGGTGGCTGCCATCATCAATGTACCGACACAGCGGACCAGCTGGGGAGACAAAACTTAATGGTGTGACTTTCTTGAGCGGCAAATCTAAACTATCTTGGACGTTAGAGCGGGGTGAACCGACGAATCGTCAATGTGCTTTTAAACTCTCGTAAATTGTGATGAAAAGATGAACAAATTACAACCCTCCAATCTTGACTTTAACAAGTAAGTAACTCTTCATTTGCACACAAATGCCACAAAAGTAGAAGGAGTAAACAAAAACAGAGAAAAAACTGTAAAAATGACCTGACAGATACCAAGATGCCATAGTTTGTATCTTAGAAGCACATCACGTACAATGCTCATATACGGAGCTTAAGGAGTTGATTTGCATCGATGAACTGACACCTGCGATACTAAATAAGTCATCAGTTGTACTTACTTTGTTTATCTGCATATATCACCTCTCCCTGGGGGTGAAAAAAGAAACACAAATAAATATAGTTAACAAAAAATGACCTTCAACAGATCATCAAACGCTTTAACTTGACACCCTAAAAATCTATCATGTTTCAGGTACCGAAGTGCTTTGCTACATTTCTTACAAATTTAGGCAGTTTATATCCAGAAATAGAAAGCATTCATGCAATGTAGTACTAAGCCCACTTCTAGGTTCCCTGTATATTAAATAAATGCCTCTCCAACCAAACACTGATGATCACAACTTGTAAAACTGCACAGACTAACCTTAAATTAAGATTACATCTCTTTGCCATCTAAGTAATTTATTTTTCAGGTGTTGAGAACATTGACCCTTTACGGAACCCAACATCTCGAGTTGAGACACCTGTGTTCGCTCCTCAGGGATGCGTTACGTCATCCGTCTTATTTTAAAGATTGTTTGTTTGGGGGCGGAGGGCGGGGGCGTTGTTTTTGCTATTCACCAACCTTTTTCTCTTCCTCAGAGAGTTGGGCATAGCCCCCTCTGTCGCTGCTAGTCAGATACAAGGGATGGTAGTGACCTGGGTCCATCGGATCATTACCCCCGAAAACATTGAAGACATATCTCTTCCCCCTTTGAAGCTTGATAACGGGAACCAGAAGGCCGTCGACGTACCAGGAATATTTCCAGCCACCTCTCTTTCCTGTTCAAACGGAATCCTAGCGATCAACTCCCCTGACAAACAACTCATGATGACCCTCTTTACAACAGACGTCTTCACTAGCTGCAAAGCCACTTTGTGTCGACAATACACCCTTATCTATGATTACAATCATTGTAGCAAACCCCGTCAAACGACCAGCATTACAAAAACACAGCGTTTGGTATTTGGATGCTGGATGCTCACATTTCTTTCTTTTTTTTCTGGTGAGAATGGTGACCTAAACTGACCTGTAATCGCGCTGTATCCTCTAACGCCACCAGCTGGCCCAATATCCAACCTGAACTGGTCTCGGTCTTGGATCTCCAGGGTCGGCCAAGCTGGTGGTTCCTCAGCCCCATAGGGAGGAATGTTGATGAGTTCAGGACAGGTGTCGCTAGGAGAACGGCCAAAATTGATCTGTGTCGAGGCTGTCCAGCAAATTTCAATATGGTGTTATCATGAAATGGAAACATGTGAGATTACATAAAGACTACAAAGGCTCTTCAAGTCTATGAGATAAAAAACTTGTCCCATTATGACAATCCTAAATGTCTTCATCAAAACGAAATTCAGGACAAATCTGGGTTTGACTGAAAAATAACTGTGTCTAAATCAGTGTTTAGCCATGTCCAACACAAGTCCATCGAAGACAGATGAAGCGCACAAGACGAATGTGTTTCTCACCGTCCACCTACAAAGCCTATGACTTTACTTGAGATGACACAACTTGTGAATGACTTGCAAGGCCCCGTGATGGCCTGACTAGCAACCTGTGCATGGCTGGCCAATGTTCTTTTCAACACCTAGGTTGAGGACTACTGTTTTACAGTTCCACTTTGACGATAATAAAGGGCTGAAGCCGAATTTTGAGCAGAACACAATTACATCACTCACAGCTTACCTGACACAATGGTGTCTTGGTTAAAGAGAGCAGTGTGACCATCCTTGACTGGTCCAACGGCCCAGACAACGTAGACAGACTTGTCTGTGGGAATCACCTTATCCAGGGGATCACCTTTCCCCAAAATTCCAAAAAATACCACATAATTAGAATGTGATATATTTATCCCCTCAAAAGTCATATAAAGAGATTTACAATAAACATCAATGTTATTTCTTACAAATAACATTTGTCCAAAATTCTGATGTCCTGCTCCAAACCAGTAGGCCTACAGAGACTTTCAATGTCCCAAGGTAATGATCTGTATACTACAATATTATGGTATCACAATATTAATTATTAAACTGAATGTTCCAGCTGTTTATCTTTTGGGAACCCAAACAGCATGAAATCAAATGAAACCTGCTTCAGATCTTTTGCATTAGGAGTGGCTCAAGGGGAGTGGCTACACAAGAAAGTGGGCGTATACCTCCACAGCCTAGTGGAAAGAGGTTGTGTCCATGCTTTCCCCCAACGTGACTTCTTTTCACTTTTCGAATTTTGATATTCCCAAGGTCGTCAATCCACCCCTGTATGTATGTGGGGGGGGCTACTTTTTGTCATTTTGCGTGGCCGGCTGACCTACCTGTGTCTAGGTAACGGGAGTAAGAGATGCGTGTGACTCCACCCAGCGTGGAGGATGATGTCAGAGCGACATCAGTGGTGCCTGCAGTAGGTTTAGCAACATCGTCTGGACAGGCCCCAGATCCCATGGAACACTGCAAAAAAAGAGACACCAGACATAACATGAAACAAAACTTTACAGAATTGGAAAATTGTGTGGATAGATGTGAGTCAAACGCATCACTCAAGCAAAACACTCTTAGGTCTGAATTACACAGACACACAAAAAGAAAGATCAAGTTTGGCAAAAATTAATAAAATAAGTGCCGATAGCTAGTTAGGAGTGGGGAACTTTGATAAAAATGTAAAAAAGACAGGAAAGACCTCAAATATTCTCCGGGGCATACTTGAAAGTTCTTCTCTTCGACAGATACAAAACATGACCTTGATGATCTGGGCAACCAGACCAGACGGAGGCCTAGAAAAATCGGTTGCATGAAGAAAAAATTTCTGATTTCACTCTATGACATTATCCAACAACCTACTCTCCAAAGACCAGGATATCTCACTCGTACCTGTGACTGAGTCTGCATGTGGTAGTCCACCACCGTTGGTGTCATGTTGCGTGAGTTGACCCAGGCCACGGCAACATCGGAGCCCCTCACTTCGGGAGTGCCACCACTCACACCGAACGCCATAAAGGAGTTAGGGGGAATCTTGCCGCTGAGTTGAACCTCGATGACGCCCCCCTTGACAGACCAACGGACCTGCAGATGGTCCGCTGACAAGACTTGGCAGTTGTCATAAACCTAGGAACAAGTAAACTCAGTTTGGGGAAACAAATACTCACCCTCAGTGTTCAGAGAAGCCAACTTAATTCCCTCATTTTATCAAGTTGGTTTATTTTTGCTAACTCCAAAAAGTCACTGGTGGATTTTGTCAGCCCTGTAATTTATGACAAAAGTCAAAAAGAAGGTGAGACTGTACATGCTTGGTGAAAACATGACAGACACATTAAGAAAAAGGCAGTTTTTTTCTGTTGTGATAAACGTTTGCATATCTATACCCGAATGGTGTCGGTCGATGGTGGAACGTTCCAGGAACTGGTGTTGACAGGAGAGAAATGCCCAAAGCTGACGTGGAACTTGCTACACCACATGCTGATGTAGGAATAATCAGGGATGGTCGGGTTGCCTGGCAGGAGGCTTACGGTGACGGTCTCAGCACGGAAGATCTGCTTAACCAGCTGGCTAACGCTGGCGAGGTGAAAACAAAAGCGACTTTGGAACTTCTCAGGGGGACATAGAACAGAAATGGATACCAGGCGGGACATGTAGATGACCCTGTGTGGCTTGCTTTAACCCTAAAAGAGCTGGGCTTTTTTGGACCATCTCATAACCAAGGGGCAGCACCCCTCCTTAAGTATTCAGCTGTCCTATGCACGATCTTTTTGAAACTTGATGTGCGTGTAAAGACAATCCTTATCAGTACATCTACGAAGTTTCAATCCAATTGGACATCTTTGCTTTGTTGTTTCAGTCGTTTGAAGTCCAATCCTTTACTCATGTTGGCCCATGTGCCTGGAAAAAGTATAGAATTTTGGCTGACCTGGGCATTGCGCAAAAACGGTATGTCCAATTTTCACAAAATTGGCGCCAACATGACCATGGGATGTTACTAAAATCTCTTTTGAACTGCAGTAATGATGAAGGTTCTTTTACTATGCCTACGATACGTACGTATCTCTCCACAGCAGAGCAGTTCCATTAATGTCTGGCTTGGCCGCGTGACCCGCCCAGAAGAAAACGGCTGAGGAAGGAGAGGGAGCAGATATGAATAAAATAGACACAATGGACTACGGGAATTGGGACAGGCAGATTGGGGAGGAGAAACGTTGAGGGAAAGAAATCATAAATGGAAAAACACAAGAGAAGTAATACATGAGGCTCAAAGTAGACAACGAACGTTGAACAGAGGGCAACAAATACCAAATAGAGAGTGGAATAAACAGAAAAAAAGAAAAACAAAAACAAAGCCTTAATCTGAAAAGAAAAGCTCCTGGCCAATTTGGAAGTAAATGTAGTAATATAACCAACCAAACGTATACAACACAGAAACTGCTTTAAAACTGCACTGGTACGGTATTCCAGGGGTCGTAGGTTCAAATCCCGCTTCTGTCAATTTCTTTGTTCATCTTTATAATACACTGTATATACAAACACCTAGTTAGTTTCCCTGTATAGTTTGTTTCATGGTTTATGTTCAAGAAGCCGCACCCACTCTGAGTGATCCCCGTTCGCCACCTCCTAAGTTGACAACATCTACGCCCTGCGATTCACGGAATGACTTACGCACGGTCAGCACTAACCTGGGCCCAGTCCATCGTAGGATAACCCAATGAAGCTGACCGTTTTGGCGTCCTCCACGATGATGTTCACCACTGACATCTTGTGTGACTTCTCCACCAGGACGTCATCTCCCAGGGCATGAGGGGCAGGGGGAATAAAGTCATCCGGGATGGCGACAGAGCCATAACTCTCCTGGAGAAGATGGCGGTGTTAACCCTTTTCACAAACTTTTCAAATCAAATACAGAGACACCATGACTGGGTTTCTGTGCTTTTGCTCTGTCCACACACAGACGCTGCTGATTTTCCTGTGCAGTGGTTTTTAGTCATCAGAAAGTGATGGCATATCCTAAAATGTCAAATTTAGCAATGAGCACGTTGAAGTGTTTACTCAGAAATGCTTAGCATCCTTGACCACATAATCGCCAGGTCCCTTATTTCATCACTTACTGGGAAAACCAATTAGACATGACAACGAGTGACGGAATTAGGGCCCTGGCGACTAAACAGCCAGAGATAATTGAATTTCTCCGACCAGTCTCATAGGGTTTGCCCACAGGGTTTCAAGTGATGTCTACATATGGAACTCCTTCCAAACCTCAAATCACAACATTTGAAGTTACCGTCTGCCACAAAATCATACTTACTCCCTGGTTGTCTCTGTTCCAGACTGCAATGTACTTATATTCAGAGATGAAGTCAATGCCTGGAATGACTAACACCAACAAGTCACTGAGGTATTCTCCTAGGTCACCAGCTGCTCCTCTGTAAATCAATAAAAGTAAAAAAGAAGGTATACTGGATATACAAAAATAAGAAATTTAAAAGAACAGCGAGTTACAAAAAGACCATAGTGAGTTGAGACTAATCCTTACCCAAGGGGAACGACGGGAACCTCGGTGCCATTTGTTGAAGGAGTGGCTGATTTGCCAATCAAAAACACAGTATCTGAAGATTTAATAACATGAATACACATACAAGAATTACTTTTAAACTTTTTTTACATGCATCACCAAGAGTTTTAACAACAGTGGTCTGACTGTGCTAATTGCTATGCAGCCATGTGACAGTGATGACAAAAGACCAACCTATCTACGACGTCAAATACAATTGTCAGCTAAAATAATAGGGGGGTCCTATGTAACTAAGCATGCCAAGTGCTGAGTGAAAGAATACGTCCAACTGACATTAAAATCAGCGCATATTCATCTGCAGGGGGCTGACATTGACAGCAGTTGAGCTGCAAGAGTTCCAATTAATATTACAGACTGTGCCAACCACTTCACACCATTTATGACGCTGGGCACAAACCCCATCATGCCCACGAGCAGATGAGACTGGTTCCGGTCTGACATGTCTGTAAAATACTATTACTGACCTCCCTGATGGTACAGACTGAGTTGCCAAGTCCCTTATTTCACCAATTTGGGCGAAGCCCTAAAAACCAATCTGACTTGACAGTGGTGAAATTACGGACCTGGCCGTGACGGTTAACAACAATGCAGCGATACAACGCATTCAAACGTAAGGAAGGCAAGAGTTCCATATACGGTCAACTAGGGCCTAAGTTTCCCAAAAGGTTATAACAGCCATTAGCATGGTTAGAAAGGGATAACATTAACACTAATAACAGGCTTACAAACTGAAATTTAGGCCCTAGATAAGAAAATTCAAAAGCATTAACTTAGAAAACATTTTTTCAGAGGGGCCTCAACTCGTTTCCAAACGTGAACTAAGTAACGAATGCCACCAGTCAATAACATCATTTATCAAGTAGGTAATGATTTTTTTACCAGCAGAGGAACTGGAAAGTAGGCCGTGCTTGGTGCTAATTGCTGATGAGTGTGCTAAATAAACTATGCGATGAGAGGCCGAACTAAAACCGCCCTCTATTGGTAGAGGTCATGAAAATATTGGGCGTGGTTTGAGCGATTAGTGGGGGTAGTAGTAACCTTGTTAATTGAACGATGATTATTGTATATTTTTATTTCCATGGTTTGGTATGATTAGTTAAGGTGTCACCGTGACTATAACGGTTGGTCTTAATCCCCCGAATGATGCTTTGCCGGGCCATCGGCTTTCTCACCAATAGGTACTGAACCTACTTACTGGCGGTTCCATCGAATGAAAATCGCTCAATGACAATGGTCCTCTTGTTGGCAGCAAAAACTGTTCCGGACACGCCGTGGGTTGATCGGGTTCCGAATTCACCAATCCTTTTCCCATATTTGGCCCCAAATGTCGAAGAGATCAGAGCTGAATCAATAATCGAAAGATATGTCAATTATTGTAAGCAGTATAGCTTATCCGGCTTCCGGGTGTGTGGGGTCAGTCTGTGTTGGGGGGGGATTCAAAAGTGAATACGGCTTCGGGCTGGCCTTAATTATTTGACATGATGTTGGGAGAGAAAAAATATCTAAAGCCTTACTCACGGTCCCGAAATCCTAGCTTTTATTTCATGGTGTTGCTTTCCTAGGGTTTTGGTGCTAATATTTGATACATAGGTATCAAAATAAAATTTGATAACTAAAATTAAAATGAAAAAAGTGAACAAATCCGGGGGGCAAGTATACTTGCCTCCATGCCCCCCATACGCCACTGATTGTAAGGCTAGGTTAAAACTGAGGTTTTCCCATAGGAAAGTTACGATTTTTTTGCAAAATTAATAAAGACATAATTTTTGTGGCGAATCGGCATGGTCCCATCTGGGTTTTTTTCCTGAGATGACCTCCGTACTAAACTCCTAATTGAATTGGATTGCATGTATTGTGTTTATCACCTTAACCTTGACTACAATTTTCAATTTTAGCGCTTGAAGCACTTGAAGTGCTTCTTGAGCGCTGCCCCAACAGTAGATCTCCCCTTAAGTTCAGAAATTATTTATTCATTTCTCATTTTGTGCTTGAGTGATGTTTCCAGAGCTCCCACGTGCACGAATTCCCTGGAGGTGCACTCAAGCCTCTTATAGAACTCTGACCAGGTGTGAACGTAATGACATTATAAAACACTTTGATAACAGCACGGCCCACCTCAGCCGTGCTACGATCCACACTTCCTTACATCAAAATATTATCACAACTATTCACAAAACAAAAAAGTACGACAACGTAAAAGCTTTTCAATTCATACCAAATTACTGCAGCGACTGTGATGTCTTCTAAAAATTCCACCACGGAGGTAAAAGCCCTTGAAAGGCGTAGGATTTATTTATTTATTTTGGGGGGTTTTGGAGTTTAACCATAATAAACGTCACCAAAGAAATTACCTGATAAAACAATGAATGTTATCCACGTCTTCGCCATTTTTTTCAGTCGTTTATACAAACTGTTGAAAAGAAAATTTGGGAGGAATTATGTGCAGGAGAGCTAATAATTAAAAAAGATCAGCAAGTTGCTATAAAAGGACCCTATAAGCCAAGAGTCTGCAACGATTGATTAAAGAAAGTAGATCTTCGCTAATTAAAAGGTAGGCCAACCAAGGCACACAAACACTACAATAACACACACACACACAAATACCGACAAAAAAGAGAGAACAACTCATTACAAAAGCTAAATCATCTTTTTCACCTCAGTTTCAAGTGGTAGGAAGGGATTTCGATAAAATAGAATTTCAGATGAATAATTAAAACCACCTACCTTTCCCTGCAGCTCTCTTTTCGGTTCGTTACTGTTCCCTCGATCTTCGGTCTGTCGCGAAAAAGAACCCCATGAGATCCACTCACTATTTATAAGATTTATCTCGTTTGTGAGCAGTGGAAATTAATTCAAACTTGCAATGCGATTGGCCAACGGTCGAGGGATGGACCCCTGCGAATGATCATTACATCTACTTACCATTGGTTGATGGTAGTAGTTATAATTGCAAAGATTTGCATATACCCGCTGATTGGTGATGCACAGTAGTCCAAAGGGTGGAAAAGGGCTGGGCTAATAGCGCGCTGGGCCAAGAGAGGCACATCGACGTAAAGGTTTCCTGACGTAAAGGCCTTGACTCAGGACACACCCACCGTATCGCAATTAATGTGGACGTGCCGTTCTCGCATAATGTCAAACCAGTGGGCGTAAATGCTGGGGGATGGGATACTATCTCCCCGCTTTTTGAGATGGGGGATGGGCTATTGCATCATCTCCCCTTTTTGTGGTGAGCAAAAAACTAAAACAGATTTTAACTAAGTTTCAGACTTTTTGACGACTAAAATGCATTCAGTATCACTCAAAGAGGGAAGACAATTTTTTTTAAAGCCATAAATACATGTATGTCATTCTGAATGCATAACACAGATGTACATCACTGTCACGAACATCGACAAAATCGAGTCATGCGGTGTCTCACACCCGTGCGGGCCACAATGTCAAATTTTGAGGGCCGGGCAAGTTACCCCACTCCCCCCCCTCCAATTTCCGGCACAGATTTACGCCACTGTGTCAAACAAATTCAAACATCATGCGAGTCAAACTTTGACTCGGCTTGCCAAAAAAATTTCACACTTTTTCAGGAAAAAGGGCTGAGCCTAATTGACGAACAAACGGTGTGAAATAGAAGTCTGTTAGGGTTAAATAAAAGTGATGCCGAATCAGCAGCTGCCTCGGGAGCGATCGTAACCTAGGCCTTGCAACGTGCGGGGGTTAAACCTTCGTTAATTTACATAAGTACATCTTGAAATCAAAAGTCGTTCCCGACACGATAAGCAGGTTCGTGTTCATCGAGGATTGTAGTATACGTTGTTCTGCTATGTCCCTGAGGTAGAGGGAACATAATGCATTTTGGCAGGTGAAAATCAATTCTTCAGAGAGATGTATGAACTTTGTATAAAAACAGGTTTTAACAAAGACGTCTGCTATACGCAATCCTGTCCTGAAAACGATACAGAATACCGCCTCATAAGTCAAACACAAATCATCGCAAGTGACTGAGACTAAGTGGCCGGAAATACATTTCACCCCTCCCTCTCGAACGGTGGCGCTTTGTCTGAGCTGATATACAGGTATATATTCAGAAAAAAAGAACCACGATGTGCCCCGATTTCCAGGCGACCCTTTCGGCCTGAACACGCCACCACAAAGCAGGATATAACAAACACTTTAAAATGTGGCGGCTCTGAAAAGACTCCTTGTGGCCATCTGAAAAGATAATGCAATTATAAACTTGCACTAAATTGGTTCATTCTGGCGGTTCCAAAACTGTCCAAAAAATCGCACCCTTTGCAGGCAGTACAGAATAATTCACCACGGTCATAATTTCGCGTTGATTTCTTTTACTGAATTAAAATAGGCGAAAAGAATTTCATGTTCAGACTACATGAAACGGATTGCCTGATCCGATGCACTAAATTCGTCTGTTATTTTTTTTTTCTGCACGAACACCAGTTTTGTCATCACATTAAATACAAGCACGTGTAGTGTTTCATGTACAGACTAATACTAGACGGGAGACATTGTGCCTTCCTATGCTACGAACATCAACTGTCTTCGTCATCAGCACGACTGAACTTTCTTGGTAGTTTTGATAAATGAATGGCATGTTTGTAGAGCACAATGTATACATGAAGAACTGCATGTCGATGCACCAAACCTGAATAATGTACAGCTTCACTGGGAAACACTGGAAAAATGCGTGTTACATCAAGTTTACAATCTAGCAAAGGGGAGACAAGGTTATATCAAGATGAGTTTCAAACTTTCTACTCTAAGAAGTCTCAGACTTGGGTAATCCTGGAAATTTACTACCCTTCCTTCTTACCCCAATTCTTGCCACCCAAACCCTTTGTATCTTGTTGCATGTTCGTAGTTTACTGAAATAATGATTTCAGGTAAACAAAACCTGAAGTAATGGCCATGTGGCAGATAAATGAATGGGAACTCTGGAATGAATTGTCTCTCATATCACATGTACTAACCAGAGAAGAAACCGACTATTAAATGACTTTAAATTTTTTTCTTCTACCTTTGATTTTCCACCAGTTACACACCAATACAACACAGTATGTATTGCAAACCGCAAACCTCCCCATTCATTGTTTAGTGTTATTCTGCTTTGCTTTTTTTTTTAACGGAAGGTAACCACTCATATTTTTACTTGAACCAATTTTTGCTATTTTCAACTCTTGTTAATGCAGACCCTAGCAAGTGAACAGCATCATTTCTTCTCGGGCGACTTGTTGTCTTTCTTCTTCTCTTCTGTCTGTGGTTGCTGGGTCAGCGTTCCCATGGCGTCGCGGACGGCCTCGCTGGAGATGTCCACGCCCGGTAGGTTCTCCATGACGCTCTGAAGAAACGCCGGATCCGACATCAGCTCTGAGAAATCCTCGCTTTCCCCTTCAGCCTGCTGAGTAAACAGCCAAAACAGGTTTTGTTTTTCAATTCTGTTCTTCAGAATTCATAAAGAATATGTATTCAAATAAGTATTTTGAAATCTACGCATTCAACTCGAAATCCAGATGAAAGTAAGGAGGAACTTCCAAACTCTGCAATTTTCAATTTGCAAGGAACTGGCAATCAACTGACACTCTGAAGATAAACCACAATGCCTGCAACTCGAATGCTTCCATTCCGAGGGTTTGAGCACAGCTCAGATAACTGAACGCCGCCAAGGGATAATGAAATGAAAGTGGGACGGGGCATGGTAAGGAGGTGTTACCTTCGAGTCTCCTCCCTCCATACTGGCGGGTGTGTCCGTCTCCATAGGGATCTCACTGGCTGCACTGTCACTCAGTCCGGAGAGCACTAGGGAAGAAAACAAAAAACCCACAAATCATTCAGGTTGCCAGTCTAGGGCTGTGTCGAAATCCGCCGGTTGTGGCTGAGGGTAACATATTTATCTATGCAAAAGGGCCTCAGTCACTAGCCAGTGGCTTATATGGACCTACATGTTACGGTTAGCCGCAGTCCTGTCATTCTGCTCCAGAGGCTTCATTACCTGAGCTTTGGGCGAGAGACATCTGCATGGCGAAGGCAATCTGTTCCTCTTCCGTCATGGTGCTGAGGTCCGGCATAGGGGTCTCCATGGCGCCGGACATGGCCAGAGCCTGCTCTAGTAATGCTTCCTCCGAATCAGCTGTATCAAACACAACATCTCTAATATTAAACAAACCCCAGCTGTGGTCAGTTTCACTTATCAATAACAGATTAATACCAACCTCCATCTCACTGAAAAAAGTACGCTCATTTGGCTGGTGCTCAGCTTTTTAACAACTTCTGAAGAAATTAACCCCTTGAAACAGTTGACTGGATGACAATCTCATCCACCGGCATTTTCTCATCCAGCTGCTGCTTCAAAATGAGCCTCACGACCGAGAAAAATAGTCTGGCCGTCTTTTCAGGGGTTCACAATCTGCGTAAGATTCTAACCTGGGGCACTGGTGGGCTTGGGCGTGGCATCCGTGGTGGCCGACTCGGATGGCTGTGAGGGCGCCTCTTGCCTCTGTCTTTGCTCTTCCATGGATATACGTAATGCCTGCGAGGGGTGAATAAATTTGCCGAATTGAGAATCATTCCCAATTGAGAATCAACATCAAGCAAGATGGTTGGCACTTTTTTGGGGAACAGTTTAAACAGTAACAATCAAACACTGGCTGATCTCTTCAGCTGTTGATGACCTGTTTCCATTTTCAGACAGGCAACTGCAAGTCGGAAAAACACAGGGCAATTCCAACTTCCACGAGACTTTGTGGCATGTGGGAGACTCAATAACAGGAAATTGGCTGATCCCCCCCCAAAAATGCATGCCTGTGTTTGGTCTTGGGATATTATATATTACCATAGCGAGTTCTGGATCCGTGGACGGGTCAAAGCCAAACTCGAATTCTCCCCCTGTGCCAGGTAGGCCGGGCACGGCTCCAGTGCCATCCTCACCGACAATGATGGGCGAGTTCATCAGGGCGTCGGACAGGAGAGTTCCTGGTGGGATCGTCACTAGATGAGACCTGCCATCGAACCAAATGGTGTAAAAAATGCAGCGTTACTAAACAAGAAGAACAACTGTATTGATGTGCATCTCCAATTAATTTGCCAGGAGTTTGTAAATTCCTGTAAATATATTTTCCAGTACATAGTGGTATTTCATTTACAATTTAAACATAACTTTAGTCGACACAGAAAGGCAAGGTGTAGTTTGTTCAAGCTTACCCTGTGCCATCGCTACCATTGATGGTATCTATAAAAGCAGTCAATTTCTCAGTGTTGAGTTTCTGCAGAGAAACAACATGGAAACTGTGGGCGATCTACGTTCAAAAGCCTGACATGTTTCTGGCAACACCGACGATGACATTCAGACGAAATTTAAAAGGGAAAGGAGGGGATTTAGAGTGTAAAACTTTCTTCGTTATCCGCCCCGAGTTGAATTGCACCTCCAAAGAGCGAAAGAAAGACAGAGGGTTGTAAGTTTTCCAAGCAGGTTCTTGCATGTGTTCTGCGTGTACGCAAGGATCATACATTAAGGAATAAATCTGTTACGTGTACTCAGCGTGCTCGGCATCAAATGTGTCATTGATATCCATTATGAAAGTGTGCTTATGCAGTGAGTACCAAAAAAACACGCCCTCTCTTGTTGCGCTCGGAGTGGATTGCTGTCAACACGCTGCCGTCAAAAAACCTTCAGGCCAACATTTCTCAATGTCCTAGCCATGACCACAAGCCCCAAGCTTTCCTTTGATAAAATAAACATTTTCTCCCCCTTTTCATCTTAATGAAGCCATTTTGATAGGTTGATTGTCTTACATCTTCACCAAAGTTGACGACGTCTACGTTGACTTTTTCCTTCTTCAGTTTTTTTGCTAGTTTGACCAGCTGTAACAGACAAAATGCGAGAGTGAATAACAAGATCAAGAACTTTAAATCAAACACTTAGATCTTGACACAATTCAAATTTCCTCGGTGCTTCACATCTCACACTTAATTGTGTATGGGAAAAGGAAACTCCCTTTTTATCTATTCTCAGAAAACAAACGGATTTCCCTCCTCAAAGATGAATGATTACACATTGCTGTCTTATAGACTTTGACAGGTCTGCCAAAGGAAAGACTGAATGGACTTACCTCCTTTTCTTCATTTGTAATTGGACTTCCTACGAAGGCAATGATTCTCATGCGATGGTTCTTACCCATCCGATGTTTTAGGGCCAACTGAGAACAGAAAATGATCACCAAGTTTGTTACACCTCTGAGTGAAACAGGACATTTCTGACCCAATATGTAATGAAACGATTGTCACTTGTGGTAATTCTCGGAGAACTTTGCTAGCACTGCCTAACAAAGAGGGGGGGTGCTTACATGTGCCACACGGATGCCTGTGATGAAAGTCAGATCGCCGTTGGGTTGGGTTTGGTGGAGGCTAGCCAGAATGCGACCGACATCACTTGACAGCGTAACCAACACCTTGACACTAGAGGGGCACCAAACAAGTAAAACTGTTACTATGAAATCAAAACTGAACAAGGTTTCCAGCCATATCATGCAATGGGATCACTACATGACAAACTACTAAATAGGCTCTTCTGCCTTCAAAAGAATTCTTACAGGTTGTGGGATAAGTTCAAGAAACCGCATAGGTAAGAACCACAGACTAGTAAAATCTGCCAACTTTCGCTACTGTGACTAAGGCTGTGTCCGAAACGGGATTCCAGAGCTACGGCTAGGTCTGTTTTCTATGTGTCTCTACACATTTCCAATGGAATGAAGACCTAGACCTGGCTCTAGACAACAGATTCAGATGCAGCTTTAGTTCTTTCAGTGTTATTTCAATTTGATGCAGCGGCAGGCTCGACAAAGACAGCACTGAGAGTCTGTCACATAAGGCCAGACAAAAAATTAGTTGTGTTTCCTATTACACTGAAAAAAAATTAGGGTGGTTGGTTGGGTAATTTTTTTTTTTTACTCTAAATTTTTATAGCCCCAAAAAATAGGGTCGGATGATGGTCTGTATTTTTAAATTTTTTTTTTTGGGGGGGTTGAAACAGGTACTAAGTCAGTGTTTGATAAATACTGTACATGTGAACGTCAATATTACATATCAGCACTGTGATTAGCAGCTGGTTGTTGAAATACAAACACACAAGAGCCATCCATCTCATTCAAAAAAAAAATAGAACAATACAAAGTACAGGACGATGTACACAAAATATGACTTGGGGCAAGGCACCACAAGTTTTTATATTTTATTGATTTCCTGAATAAAAAGATATAGGTTCCACTTGATTTTCTAGGTTGGGTCGGGTAACCGGAAACACAGCTATTTTTTTGTTTGGCCTAAGAATCAAGCAACATACTTGGATAGAGTGATGAGTCCCACATTGTTCTCGACGTTATTTCGTGTCTTGGAGAGGCAGATGAGATTGACAGCGTCCTGCTGAGCTTGGATGCGGGTCGGTATGAAGTCCCCATTCCTCATGTATTCACTGGTGTCAACACTATCAACAATGACAGGCAGAGAAGCAAACCATTTTTTAAAAAAATAGGCCCACTTTTTTTGCTTCCAAAGTGTAACATTCGAGAAAATTGAATCAAACTCTGCCTCGACCTTTCCCCTGCAGCTCTGCCAAAGGTCTTCACTGAAAACCTCCAAACTCATTCAGTTACAAATTGGTACTATTACCTTTGTTCATCGCAACTTTGTTGAACTTCTGTGAATAATTTCAGCATTAAAATTCATAAATGCTGAAAGAAGTCTTGAAATTGGGCACATTATCAACAAATCTAAGAAAATCCCACATTTACTTTTTAAAAAGTTTATTAAGTTGATAATGCCTATAAATAATTATCACAATTCATTTACAAGTAAGAAGCCTACCCAACTAACAGTTTATAAGGAAATTGCATTTTTCAAAAATTTCTACGCTGCATTTTAAAAAGTTCATAGTGCACTTCTGAAACTAAAATGGAAAACATCAGAAAATGACAACAAAATAGGAATTCAATTTTCATAGGAACTTAAAATGTACTTTTTCGTAGTGGTTAGAAGGCCTACGTAATACCCACCATAGATAAACCTTTTCGACATTCGTAATGCATTATGGGGTTTGGATGACAAACAAGCCATGCATTTTTATGCATAAACCTTTGGGGGAAGTAAACCAGTCAAAATCCAATTTACAGTTTTCTTTTAAATATTTTTTATGTATCTGTTCATAAAAAATGCATGCGTATTATACAAGAAACATTTTCAAAATAACAAATAAGTTTTCAAATGTTTGTAAAAAGAAGAAATCACCCTGAATTGTCTTTTTCAAGGGCACCAGTCACTCTACAGGCTGAAAGTGAACGTGACTGGTCAAAATATCCAGCAAGAAATGAGACCGTGGGGTACCCCCCCCACATGTCTAATCGCTATACACACTCTAGACTATTGTATTGTTACCTAACACATCCTCCCTAAGTTTCTGAAAAGCCCAGGAGACGTTTTGCAGGTAGGCATGGTAGGCTAGGCCATTCTGTAGGCCTACACACAAATGTTTGAGGTGCATGTAAAAATATAACTCTAGCAAGGTAATGGGGGCTAAAACTCAAAGTACGCCAAGGCCGCGTCAGGGGCCGCGCCACGTTAAGGTACATACACAACAAATCATTGCACATGTATATCGTTGCATGTGCAATCCGGAGTTCTGACAATGTGACACTGTCCGAACATGCATTTTTTGTTTAGTCACACTTATGACAACATTTAAGTTGTTGTTTATGGATACAGTAAGAGCAGTAATGACACATTTGAGAAGAAATAATGCAGAGTGATATTGTTTGTTTGTTCCGATGTAAACAAAATGCAATACAAGTCCTGTATAATACGTAAAATTACGAAAATAAGCAACAACTTACCACACCATCGTACTTTCGAGCACCATTTTGACTGCTGAATTTATAGACAGGTTCTCTATACACTACCACCTCCAATTTGCTAATAATGACGGTCAGTAACAAGACCATATCAAGTGGCTATGATTCTCCCTTAACGCAAAGATAAACATTTCTGATTGGTTCAAATCTGGAAATATCTCAATAGTTCCCATTTACAGCCAATCAGAGTATATGTTGTAAAAAAAATACTGCGAGCAGCCCATCATGCAACTCCAACGGAAGTAAACAAACTAGCAGACGACATAACTAGTGATTAACAGATGGCTTGTCATCATCGCAACAAAATAAAGTACCATGGAAGTCTTCGGCTGTGGATTCAATGGTTTTGGGCAATTACTTCCTGAAGTATCGAAACGGTGCCTTCTCTCTCCTGTTAAGATTTTTCCAGATTGTCGAAAACTACCAAGAAAATCAGCCAGTCATGCCAGTGAACATGTTGAAGAACCCCGATCTTCAAGATGTGCTTCAGATAATTTCAGAACACTGGCTTCATCGTGGAGTGCAGTATACATCATTAACGGTATAATAAGTTTTCTTTTAGTGTTACTGTTCGGCTTTGTAAGTTTGTTGCATTTGACGGATGCAAAGCGCGTCATTTTGAAAGTTTTAAACATATTAAAAGTCAAATTATTCTATGCAAGATACATTTCATTATGGTTTGCTACCGCTCTTCTCCTGACTGTTGCTTTTTTCTTATCTCAAATTTTCAGATTCAAACATCTGGTTGCAAGGATTCTCCATTGGACAGAAGTCTGCATTTCAGATTTTGAAAACATCGAATGAAATGCAGTTGCCCCCTGTAATGGATATGGACTCTGCTGGTGAAAAGTTATATTACACAACAATCGAAGGGGAGTGCATTGAAGTGGACATAGGAACAGGTCAAGAGATGAAGGTCAGAGGGAATGAAACTACAGCAAAAACAAATTTCTTGAAGGTCGCTTCTGGTGACTTGAGTAAGGTGGCTATCACAGGTGATTTTCTTTTTTCTTAACTGAAGAACAGATCTGTATTATTACTAGTTTGGTAGTTCCAGATCTTTTCCATTTTCAGAAATACATGTACACGTTTTGAAACTCGGTCAAATTGGTATTCTGTGTAACTTCTCTGATCTTTTGTTTTCAATTCACTGTTTGCAGGTGAGTTTTCAGCTGGTCTCATTTCGAGTGAAAATGGTAACCGTGTCTTTCGTCCTTTTGACATTGCTGTTAAGTTCTCCCAAGTGTGCTGCGGTCAAGAGCATGTGATTTTGCTCTCTGAGATTCATCAAGTCTACAGCTTTGGACTTGGCAGGTACAAAGTACAAACTTTCTCAGCCAGATCACCAAATAACAATCAAAGAATTCTGTATGTCCTCCTGGCTCTTCGAGCTCTGTTTCCCTGAAGATGAACATTTGACAAATTATTCAAAACTCTTTTTGCTTGTAGTCGAGGTCAGTTGGGTCACGGAACAACAGATGGAGAAAGCCAGCCAAGACTCCTAGAAGCCCTTGGGTGTGTTCCTGTGGAGTCAATTGGGGCAGGAGGATGGCACTCAGCAGCAGTCAGCAGTGAGTTGGTTTCTCGCTCTGGAGCAAAGCAGGCTTGATGAGTTGGGGATGGTGGGCCACGGTGTTAGGATGATTTTTACCAAACAGTTTGTGCAGCTGTGGATCCGATAAACTGGATTCGTTCTCTTTTTTTGGGGGGGGTGCAATGGGCCGAGATAACACAGTGGATACTAGTCTTATACTTACCTGATCTATCAAACCAAACAGGCCAAAGTGGTGCAGAAGTACTAATTTGACCAATTTTTGGAAAGTTGTTGGGTTTATCCTGTGAATCACTTAGTTCTTGAACTTGATTTTGTCCTAATATCATTTTAGCTATTGGAGATCTGTACATCTGGGGCTGGAATGAATCTGGTCAACTAGGATTTTCCATGCAGAGAAAATCACAGTGTACCTCTGGGGGTGTCTATCAGGATGCGATTACAGGAACATGTGAGAGTCACCCTGGCCAAGAGAAAATGCATCCTGGAATGAAGAGGGCGTTTCAACAAGACACAGGCCAAGAAAGGACAACAAAGAAGAAAGTTCCATCTTTATCATCTTCTGAAACTTGCCAAGAGTCAACTCAGTCGCCAGAACAAGAAAATAATTTTCCTACAGAGGATACAGAAAGAGAACAAAGATTAAGGGCAAGTCAACTCCATCAAGCGGCTGGGACTTCCCTGGAAGATGCTCAGCATCAGGAGCAACCCTCAAATCTCCATTCAGTACAACAGAGAAGTATCCAGAGAGGAGAAGCTGGAAAAACAGAAACTCTCACTAGAGAAGCCGCTGGTCATAAATACTCCACAGTTGGAAGTAGTTGTCTGGGGAGTGAACACTGTGGCAGAAGAGATGATGTGGTACTCTTCCAGCCATTACCTCGCATACTTGACCTCCCTGACAGGAAGGAGGTGTCAAAGGTCAGCTGTGGGTCACGTCACACAGCTGCCATCTCTGGTAACCACTGGGAAATGTTTACTTTTCACAAATACTACATGTTATTGTCGTAAAGTTGATTCCTTTCAGAACTTCTTACAGAAACTACATTTTTGTTTGGTTGTTTCAGAAGATGGATGCCTTTACACCTGGGGTTGGGGCCAGTATGGTCAACTAGGTCTTGGCAACACACAGACAAGGGATACCCCTACCAAAGTGAAATGTTTCAGGGAAGATAGGCAAGTGGTGGACGTTTCGTGCGGAGGTTGGAATACGCTGATCGTGATCGCATCCCGTCAGTGACAAACAGTCACGCTCCATATTTTCCAGCTCAACAAACCCCCACTGGATGTTACATTCGATACAGCTCTTCCATGGTGGAGGTCAAAACCGTGCTGGAGAACAGAAAGTTAATAAAAAAAAAGCAAGATATCCTTTTCTGGACTCTGTCGTTTTAATCTGCTTGCAGCATTAAAATGCAAACGAGTCCTGTAGTGGTTAAACAGTAGTACTTAAGTTTCCAAATGAAAACAGACACAACACAACGGGTGGGAGATACCAAGGGCGGATCGGGGGAGGGGAGGACAAGGGCCATGCCTGAAGCAAACAACTCTAGCCACGGTGGGTGGCGCCGGGCGGCACAACCCAGGACTGTAAAGTTCCACCCGGCTCTTGGGTTCAAATTGGCTGTACCGCCCAGCACAGATTTTCCAAAAAATCAACTGAAATATTGCTGAAAATGTACCAATTTGATCATATTTCAAGCTTACAGAGTCAGAGTTTTACAATGTTTTGCAAATGTTAACAAGTAAAGACATAAGAAATATATTTCTCCTTTTCTTCGTATCATATCAGCCGCATTATTGTAAACATGCCTTCAAGATGATGTCGGGAGAAATCCCTTCTGGGATTCCCCTAAAAACCCAGCTATGGGCTGCAAGAGCTCCGCTCACTGCGCTTGGTACGCTTAGTAATCCAAAAATTTACCAGACACTAAAATGGTCCTAGCTAGAACACTGTTTTTTATGGTCTGTGTCCTTTCCCTAAATATAGCTTCAACCCAAAGAAAGGGCTTACAAGGTTTCATATAACAGAATTCATCCAATTTTATAGCCCTCAAAGCAATTCCCCCCTCCCCCCCCAAAAAAGGTTCTGGATCCGCCCTTGGTTAGGATTGTTTAATAACCAGCACTTCAATGATCAAAGGACATAGAACATACATTAGAGGCTGAACCACACAGTGTATGAAAATATGAAAATACAGACATGTCTGGAGTATCTAACTACATTTTGAAACAGTTTGTTCAGAAATTCTTCAGTGAAACAAACGCAGGGAAGTGCTGGAAACAACCAGTGCTGTCGTCAAGACCCTTAAGACCATCACAAGACCCCTTAAGACCATCACAAGAACCCGCACGAGACCTCCAGTCTAAATTAAGTTGCAAGCTTTTTATAAAAAATGAACTGCCAAAGTCAAAAGCATTCCTTTTTAACTTCTCACTCTGTTGCATGGGTGTCTGGTCTTCTGAGGGTCTCAACAACAGCACTGCTGTTGAACCTAACTATACGGAACGCATACGGTGAATTTCTCATACGATATCTGCAGGAATCGTATGAAGAATTACATATTACATGGCCACATACACAGGTATCTGGGACTAAAACGGACCTCAAATTGCAGAAACTGATCAACTAGATTTGATAGTTACTAAGCACATCAGAAGCTTTTACCTCAAAATCTTCTTTTTTTTTTAACAATTCAGTTTTTTAACAGCTTGCAACCCAACTCTGCAAAATACAGTATATGTGTCTATTATACAGTGAGCTGAATGTCACAGTCTGACTTCTCAATACTTTCTGCAAAATTTCTTGTAAATTTTCTCCCTGAATCAGTCACATAATTACAGTTGAACTCCGTTAACAAAAGCACTGTCAATACAAGATTCTACCTATAACAAGGAAATTTTTCGGTCCCAATCTTTTCTTCTTCCGTTTTCATTCCTGATAATTAAAGGTTCCTGTTATAGCAAGGTAATTTGCCAAGTCCGAAGGCCATCTCATTAACGAGGTCCGACTGTATTATGTGGTGGGCTGCTAGATGAGGTTTTGGTGAAAAATTTTGTACATACCACACAGTTGTGATGTGACACTTCGCCTCTGAGAGTTCATTATAACCAGAGCTTCAAAAAACTTTACCAGCTCTCTAAATACAATTTCTAGTCAGAGTGGTGTCTGTTTCATCAACTTACAAAACACAAGATCACAGGAATTAGAAACATTATCCAACTTTGCAGTTTTGGTCTGTCGCACTGTGCACGCTTTGTTCAAACAGAACTTATTTCTTGTATTCTTCAAAGCCCCCTCGCAACATATGTTGACGTCCAAATAATGATTAAAAATGGTTGGAATGATGAAGACATCAATTTTGAATGAATAAATCCTTTCATTTAAAACCTGGGTTTCCCAGTCTCAAAACTTTGGGTACTGCAGTCCAAGCAACGCTTTCATGTTTGGAGCCCATAACTAATAGTTTAACAAGAATAAAACATGGACTGGAACTGTCTGGGTGAGGTCTATTGTCGTATTTCTTGTTTTCCCCTCTGCTGTATGGGACATACTCTTTAGGTTCTACAACACCAGGTACAATTTCTACAATCTACAATATACACAGATTAAAAACACAAACAAGGGTTTGTACATTCTATGCTCAATTCCCAAACCTATCTCAAACTTTTGTCCCATCCTAAAAATTCCTGCGTGAATGCAAGCGACGGGAATATCATACGAATTCTGCATGTTTCACCAACCATCACGTCACTGCTCATAAATAAAATGTCAACCCTTGTTGGAACACGACACAAGCCAGAATTTCACAAGCACGTTTGGCAACTGGAATCACTCATCCTTGCTTTCCCTGTTTGAAAATGTATTGATTCTCTCTCTAAAACTCCCGTCTTTTGCTTTTCAGGCCAGCATATTTTCTACCGTGATCAATGAAATGATCTTGGAGTTGATAGAAATCGTACAAATAACAGATGGCTGGTATAAATAGCTGTGAAAACCTGTCACTAGTGTTTCATTGTGAATGCAGCATGTGTTGTGGCAAAAGCAGGTAACCATGGTAATAACGTCTGTGATGCAATAGACTGATTTCCCGGAGAGAGACGCTCCCAATAGTTTGCGATGCTGATTGACGTGCAGAGACCATCAGTGATGTCGCTGTAGCAAAGAAAGTATTCTTTTTCCCTGACGCGAGTTCTGCTGCTTACTTGATGTTGCAACCAATTCGCTTCAGCTGATGTGACGTGGTACCGGAATCGATCGCAGGCCATCGTGAAAGACGACTGAACATCTCCGGCGTCAATAGTACAACTCTCTGTCCTTCATCACTAATGCACAGTCCAATGGCACTTTAAAGTATGCAGCTGACATCGATGTCTGGGTCGCATGACTAATACGGCCGGCCTCTCGGACCCCCTCTCCCTCGCCATGGAGCTCGGGGGCCCCTGCCCCAGCCGTTACCGAATCCTCCTCTCCAGCCGTTGTCAGCGTAGCCGTCACCCCATCCATCAAACCCCCCACCGCCCCATCTGTCGTGATTGCCAAAGCCTCGACCGCGCCCTCGGAAGCCTGTTTGGAGCAAACGTAACAAAAATTGGGCACATAAGTTGACCTCGGAAATGTACACGACTGTGCTTGGATAAACGAAATGCTGGGTGTACGTGAGCCAGGTCTGTTCATTGGACAAGTTCACGGAACAACTCGTGAGAAATAAATCTGGGGCAAAGAAATCGGGAAATGGGGAAATGAAATGTCTTGAGAAAAACACCGCGAACTCTGTCGGCTCTTGTGTAAAGGCCAAGCACTGATAAAGAAAAAGAAAGGTTAACTGGAGGTCACATGCAATGATCTAACTGATGAATTCTGATGAACCCACATGCAGTTTTGTATACTGGTCTCCTTTTGAACCCAACCAAACACCATGGAACGAGTACAGGCAGTGGACAGCTCATGTAAAGACAACTAAATTCAGTCAGATTCTCACCTCTCATCGGGCCGCAGCTGGACTCCCAACCCTGGTAATATCCATCACCATATTCACCAAAGTTGTCCCATCCGCCACCTCCGCCACCCCTCCAACCACCTCGACCTCGACCACGCCCCCGAACTTGACCTAAGATACACCGCATTCAATGAGACAAATTTTGTGAGGTTGCATTTTTGGACTGAAAAACCAGAAAGTTGTTAACACAAATATGGACAATGGGCAAAAGAGACAGTGACAATTAACATTCCTACTTCCTAGATCCCACTGGAAGTTTGAAGAGCGTTTACAAACCATTTTAAAGTTACATCAGAAATTCCAAATTCAGTTGGTCATTCTGATTAAATTTTCACGGAAAAGAAATTTTGCATTCACGGGAAGACGTGCACAAAAGATACCTTGACGTTCCCCCCACTTTACTATAATATCCCTCTGGCTGAATGGTATGATCCTCTGTTGGTGTCTCTACACAATTACTGTGCATCTGTATTGAACTTTGAAATAAGTGTTTGCTATCATCCGTCTGTTCTTCCAGTTTGCGCTTACCTCCTCCCCTGTTCCACTGTGGGTGGCCCCTCCCTCCACGAGGGGGACCACCGCCACCCCGGCCACCACCCCTTGGGAAACCTGAAGAAAACGAAAGCATGAAAACATCAGCGTGTCACTGCGACGGATAAACGATGGAGATCTATGATCAATTTTTGATCACTGGGGCTATTTTGGTGAGAATGCTGTCTGAGGGCTTATGGTATTCTCGGCAAAACTTACATCTCCATCTGAACCTAACATGAAGATCTGCCAGTTATTAACAGGGACACCCCCCAAAAATCACAATTTTAAATCTTTCACTCAACAAACTAAGAGCATCTCTCAAAATGGACTGAAGTTAAAGAGCTGTCCCCTCGTGCAAATGACAAAGAAACAAAACTCCTTCCAACTTGGACCCCAAACACCCTCCCAGCAATGATTCCCTACCTCTTCCCCTTCCTCGGTTGGCTTCCTGCCTCTTCTTTCTCTCCTTCTTCTTGAGCTTTGCTCTCTGCTCCGCGTCTTTCCTTCGGAACTTGGTCACCACACACCGGTGATCCCTGATATAATGCTCGTGCATAACTGGAAGACACCAGCGAAGAAAAAAACCCAACAGGTTTAGTTTCACAACTGAATACACACTTACAACTGTCTATGGCCAATGAGGTATATTTGTGCCGTCTTTTTTTTCCTCCCTTATTTTGCCCGTGCTTATAAATGTTATCCCTCTCATGGTGCTTATGCTTAGGTCACCGTTATGTGAGGGCATATTGATGTAGCCTTCCAACATGCCAAAACGTCTGAAATTTCCATGCTAATGGTCTGGACATATTTTTGCCAAGAACTTTCTTGAATGTTCTGAACTCTACCAAAGTCTGAAATTTGCGGATGCATTTTCCGCCAACAACCTTTTTGAGCCGCATCAAAGCCCTACGTAAGATCGGAGAGGATCTGGGAGGGTAAGGGTTGGACAGGGTGTTGTTTGTTGCAAGTGAAATGTCTAGTGTAGGTCACTTCACTAACCTCAGTTTGGCACTCACCAACAAGCCCCAGACTGCCCCAGAAGGCCATATACTAGCCTACGCAGAAAAAAGCCAGCACTAACTTAGGCTAAGTATGAATGTTACGGGCCAGCAATGGCCAAGACTCTGTGATCTTACTGGCCAGTTTCTCCACGTCGTGATGGCTGCCCAGCTCGATGACGGCAAAACCCAGTTGCTTGCCTGTCTTCCTGTGAACGGGTAGCTCGATGGACACGATACTGGTGTGGCGGCTGAAGTATTCCCTAAGGTCATCCGCTGTTATTTCCGAGCCCTTAAGGTTTGTGACATTCATCTTGGTGATGCGCTCTGTGATCATGGCACGATGTAACTGTTCAGAAGAAAAAAATGACAATGCCATCAATCGACTCATCTCCGTGGCTTTTTATCAAATTTCCCAACCTTCAAGTCATCGAGCCAACATCCAGGATTTCAACTGAGGCATCATTTCCAACTTTGTCAGAATCACAAGAGATTCTGAGAGGCGCTTACATAATTTTAGAATTTGACTCGGACTTTAGCAACCTACTGTGTGTGGGGATGCCCTGTTGACGACCAGCTCTTTCTCATGTAGGACGTGGGGCTTGGGATGCTTCAAGATGGCATCCACCTCCTCAATGGAGGACATTAATAAGAAGGCGTAACCCTTGGATGCGCCTTCCTGACCTTCGACCTCCGAGGTCTCCCGGACCAGGGTGCATTCTACGATGGTCCCGAAAGTACCGAAGTATTCCTTGAGGTCAGTTTCGGCCGTCTTCTCCTTGTTCAGGTCACCAACATAGAACTTGCGTAACTTTTCATTATTCTGCAGTTTTTGAATGGCAAGAAAATTTGACAGATGCTCTGTGTTAGAACTCAAGTCACAAACACTTGATTTCTGAGTGATGAAACGTAATTCTGGTTCAGTGAAGTGTCTTTTTAGAATACTGCATCGTACCAAAAATGAAGAGATGAAGGTGCAACTCGCAAAATTTTCATACGCCAAAGAAACTGTAAACAACAGCGATCTTGACAACTAAGTTTCTAAACAACAAAAGTGCATCCTCAGTTTCAAATGAAGAAAATGCCAAATAAAAAAGAAGCAATGACATGCATACTAAAGCTCGACTCTTGATATGCAGGAAATAGTTCTATCACTCAACATTTTCATTTGCAAATCCACAATGCAGAACTTGTACAGCTCCAGCTAATTTGACTGGTACCCTACATTTTCCCCGGTCCCTCACCTCCACAATCCCAGCTCTCCTCACGTCCAGGACCCGGTCGTTTATCTTGTGCTCATGCTCGCCCTCATGGGACTTGATGACCTTCTCGTAGTCCTCCTGATTGCACATCCGGACGAAGGCATAGGCCTTGTCGGCCGCCTGGGTGTCCCGCCCCTTGCGGGGCATTTTCAGGTCTTGCACGGGTCCAAATTGACTGAAGTACTCCCGGAGGTCCGCCTTGGTGGTCTTCTCCGGGTCCAGGTTGCCCACATAAATCTGCCGCCTCTTCGCTCTCTGGTGAAGTCACAAGGAAACTCTGATAAAGAACTTTGGCTGCCGTGAGAGTCGGTCAAATTTATATCAGAGCTCAAACAGTCGAGGGAAAAGATTTAGTATTAAAAAGCTAGCATGAGCTCAGCAGCCAAAGGGGCCGGACTGCACAAGCAAAGCTACTAGGCATCAAGGCTCACTCACACTCAGGTCGACGTGGACCTGTTTGACCTCCACCTCGGTGCCGTCGATCAACTGCCGGCCGTGGGAGTTCTCGCTCAGGATGGTGTCCACTTCCTCCTGCAGGGCCATGGTGACGAAGCCGAAGCCCCTGGACACCATCCGGCCCTCCACCTCCTCTTTGCTGATGGTACAGCTGGTCACGGTGCCAAAGCGGCTGAAGTAGGCCTGCAGGGACTCCTCCGTGGTCTTCTCCTTGTCCAGGTGGGACACGATGAGCCTCAACTTGCGCTCGGGGGCCTGCCAAACAAACGAAATCCTAATTGAGTGGAATTGGCACAGCCTTAGACAGCTTTTGCAGGGATGTTCAGTTTAGCTTGTCACAATCTATGACAAGATTTGTCAGTGCTTTTAAAAGCAGATCCTAGCAACTCTGAGCCCAACAAAACTGGTCTCCAACCACTCTCTTCTTCAAAAGATTCCAGTTTCATTCAAAGCATTTCTGCACAAAAGAAAACATATCCCTCTCAAACAGTTAGCAGAAAGGTAGTACAAAAAGGTGACTTCCTGTCTTCTGGAAATAAATGGGATTTGCTTGACATGTGTGTGGACTCTCCGTCACTGTTGACTCAAGTCTCCTCAAGAAAATTCCCTTGAAAATCCCTTTAAATTGCCAGCATTTCCCAATATTTTTTTAATCTTACAGCAACTCACAAAGCAGTGCTCTTTGACATAGAGAAAGGTTTTTCCTAATATCAAGCTCTAAAAACAGTATTTTATTTGGGTAACAAGTTGTTCGCAGTACAAACAATTTTGAAAATCTTACCATATTATGAGTAACTTACATTTCAACTTGCAGCAAGATCGTACCCCCGGTACCTAGACCAACAACGGCTACTTACGGTCAATGGCTTTGATATCGTGACAGCCACCGATCTCCCATGCAAGGTGTGCTTGTCCTTCAGCACGGCTTGTGCCTCCTCGGCAGATGACATTGTGACAAAGCCGAAGCCCTTTGCTGCAGAACCCTTTCCCTTCCTGTTGGCAAACGACTTGTCTTTGGCAACCACGCAGCTCTCCACCATCCCGTAGGCACCAAAATGCTCCTTCATGTCGTCCTCTGTTGTCTTGGCGTGCAGGCCGCCAATGAAGAGTTTCCTCGGATCTTCAATCTCCTCATCCTATGGGAGAAGAGAACAATTATTTCTGATTAAGATGATGGTATGGTAAGAAAAACCACAGAAATCCACAGGGACAAGTTCTGTGTCAGGTGACCATCATTTTTGAGGTTGTAATGCCACAAACAGTTGATTTCTGTCGCTTTCCATTCGAATCTGCTTGAAACGTGCCAACAATTTTACTCATTTAAAACAAATGAAAATTCTGCCTTCCTTTTCATGAATTTTTACATTCAAATATTCAAATTTGGAAAATACTATTCGAATATCGATATCATCGATTATCTTTTTACTGTAACATTCGAATATTCAGTAATCGATGGAATATTCAGATATTCAGCCCTACTCTCTCCCACATTTGAAGAGGCTTGCAACACACTCAAGCACTAACGGGGCGAAGTGGAAATAGGCCTACGCCCATTTCCCGTTCTGTCACCATGTTGATTTTAGTGCCCCCGCACGAGTAAGTGGGCAAAGCAAGAGGGGAACACAAATTGCAACGTTGTTGTCATGATTTTGTTTCCCTCTGTTGAATCCTCTGAGCATGCGCCCATGAAACGTGAAAAAGGGCTTATGCGGATGAGGGGAAGTGACGGTGGGGCGAAGTGGCGGCGGGGTGAAGTGGAAATGGGAGTGACATGACTGTAAAGCGTTAATTAGCATAGCTTTCGGGAAGAGTTCTATTCTATATCCTGATGCCAGTAATTCTTCCCTAGGTCACCTCATTTTTCCTTTTTTCCCCATGTGTGCATGTTGCTGTTTCTATTTCTTATGTGTTTTTTTAGCTGTCTTGAAGTTGTACAAATTTGTGGCGAGAATATCTGGTCCAAATCTGTATCAGGGACGGAAGAGGCTACAAGGGGAGTACCTCAAAAATCATTACCTTCCACTGTTGCAAACTTATTTCCTCAGTGATGAGGATACATCATCATCTGTCCTCGGGGAGTAAGTTTTTCAAGAAAGTCATCCAGGAGTGTAATCAAGTAGTAATGTTCTTTGTTTGCTGTCTGTTGATGACACTGCTCGTCTTCCTAACATTCGTTGTGATGTACCACGGTCATACATGTACAGTATGTTTGCTGCTCATATCAAACACTTCCCTTACAGGTATGAGTGGTTGATCCCCAACCCCTCATTGTGTGATTACATAGAGTAAAAGAACACGGATTTGGTCCAAAAGGGATCACATGATTCAGTTCGATAGGCCTATACGAAATGACTACGTTGTTAACAATTAATAGTGTTGCAGAAACACATTTGCTACAATCTGAGTTTGTTTTCCGAACATTCCACACACTAGAGTATACGTTCGTGACATGCAAGATCGTAAACATGGCAGATGTCTCCACATCGTTAACAACCTGACTGAAAAAGTAAAATATGTGAAATAGCTGAAAGGAACGTATAAACCTTGTCTATTCCATTTCAGTGTAGTTTTCATGGTCGAGAGTCACCCATTTGCCTCATGACGGTAGCTATTTTCTCTGTCTCCTCCGTTGAATGAAAAACTCTTGACGGGCCCGCCAAACTTAGTAACAATTAAACTTCGGGCAAAATGCAGGGACGAATTCGCTTATAAGTGAAAGCCCTTGTAAAAACAGCAGGCAAACCGGAACTGTTACAATAATAAAGTTTCTTTATGGTGAAAGAGGTTTTTTATTTGGGTTATTTAGGTAAAAATCGGGAAGTATTTTTCAATGTTCCACACACTGACTTGTAAAACTATATCATCCCAGTCTTCCCAGTATAATAACGTCAGGATCAGGTCGACGCAACATAAATACTTGAAACATTGTCCGATTAATAATAATAGACACATAATATAAAGACTAGATCTGCCATAAATAAAATACGCACATTATGTGTGGGACAAAATGTAACTCCATTTCTGTGGTCTGCATGAATGTGCCAAATCTGCTCGTGCACAAGGTGTTTTCCGGTATTTAGGGTGTTTTCCTTTGTTTAGGGTGTTTTCCGTTGTTTAGGGTGTTTTCTGGTGTTTTGGGTGTTTTCCGGTGGTTGGGATGTTTTCGGTGTTAAGGATTTTTTGGTGTTTTGCGGTTGTTTTTCGGTGTATTCCGGTATTTTTCGGTGTTTTCCAGTATTCCAGTACGATGTAGTACAGTGCACTATACAGTAACTTAATAAAACTAATATTAATAATAGCCATCAGAAAGCAAAAACATGTCTAGAAAAGTTCAATTTAGGAGGAAAAAAACCAAGACGTAGGCCTATACTAAGAAGGAAAAAAGGGTCAATGCCTTTCTACCATAAGGCTGATAAGCCTTATAGGGTTTGCGTGCCATATGTACAGGCTGACAGGGTGTCAAGTGGCGTCCGTATACATCATCATGATATTGATTCTTGTTATCTTGTTATGGAACTCTTTCCTAATCCTAGCTTTCTTTGTTCATCAGGTAAAAAAAAATAACAGACATGACAGAGGCTCAAAATTACCAGCTCGTCCCTGTCTTCGTCTCCTTCTTCACCATCAGACTGCCCTTCATCTCCAACCTCATCCTGATCTGATTCTTTCTCAGAATCGACGTCTCCTTCTTGCATGTCATCTTCCTGGAATTCTTGTTCCCGTCCGTCATTCATCACAACATCTTCTTCCGACTCCATGTTACCGAGAAAGACCGTGAAAATGAAGGGCAGTCTGGTGTCCTCTCAACCAGTGCACAAACAAATTATGATATACGCAACACGCAACAGGAACTGGCTATATTGAAAAATGAATAGCGTGTAGAGAGGGCGCTATACTAAAAATGCAATCAAAACGGGATGATCGGCATGCATGGCCGTTTTCCAATACTCGACTTGGGCTCCGTCATAGGCTTCAACTGTTTTTTACTTCCCGACTTTGAGACTATAAGTGCAATAGTTAGTCTGATAGTGCCACAAAACATCAAATAAGATGCAAAAGAGCTAATACATTACAGTATTTCAATTTAAGTTAAACGCTTCAGGCCGACAATCGAGGATTGGTTTCCTACACGAAGCCTCAGACGCAGACGAAGTAGAGCATTGGAAAACGGCCCTGGTCGTCGACAAGCCTTGTCAAATAACAAGCACTACTTTTGACAGTTTTATCAAGTTCCTCCCCAAAACAGACTGTTCTAACGTAATATCAACTCTGACTCAACAGACGCGGGACCACGCTCGATGAGAAAAAAAAATGTATCAGTTAATTCTTATATCAGACTTATAATGATCAGTTCAGAGAAAACCCTTTCAAAAATTTAAAAAGATCATTTTTCTAAAATCAATATACAAACCTCAAAATGAAAATCACAATCAGAAACTCCAATAGAAACACAATTTCAAGACAATCAGTTTTTTGTGAAGTTGTTCTGCCTTTAATTTCGCTTTCAACCAGTGGCGTAACTAGGGTGCTCCCTGAGGGGGTACCTTGGGGTGCACAATTTTTTTCAGGGGGCACTGAAAATAATTGAACTAGGTGCCTGTCTAAATGCCTACTTATATCAACCTACCTACCACGGACGTAAATGCCCATTTCAAAATTTCAAATGGGGGGGGGCACGTACCCATGGGGGGGCACAGGCCTCCGTTGGGGGCACATCCCCCCCCTCGTAGCTACGCCATAGCTTCCAACAGTACGGTGCTGGTACAGCCCTGAAAAAACTATGAACAATTCAGTCAGTGCGGTGCAGCCTGTGAAAACTTTCTATCTTTCACAATTTTTATCAAAGCTAAAATACTAGGTTTTAAAAACATACATACGTCAACCATCCAACCCAAACATTTGGTAACACTAAGCCCAGAGTAAATCTTTTTTCACCTTTTTCAAAAATCTGATCTAACAAAACATCAACATATGTAACTTTCAAAAGCAAAATTGGTATCTTCAAATAAAAAAAAAATCTTCAAATGTTTCATTAACGACATCTCACTTTTTTTCATGTCCCGACTGGAACCTGACCTAAACAAAAAATGAAAGAAAGAAAGTTTTGTCTTTTTGTGATGCAATCGGTGTACAAAAACTGCTTGGGGCAAAATTTAAGTAAAGGTCCCTTGTGTAGCTTGTAGATATTCCAAAACATCTGAGAGCAAAATGGAATAAACTGTCACCCAACTGTAAAGGCTGCATCAATCTTTTTCTGCAAGGTTCAATTAAGATGGTTCCTGGTTTCAGTATGGCCACCCCCTACTATGGCCTCGGCCCCGCCCCCTCCTCTTATTCACAGGGCCTGTCTCCCCCCATTCGTCACTGTATCCCCCACCGAGTCCGGCAGCATCTGTGAAGCGGCCCCCTCCCTGGTCACTGTAGCCTCTACCACGCCCCTGCTTGCCTCTGAATCCTGATAAAATTGGAAAGGAAGGACTTCAAATCAGCAGCAAGAGCAGCAAGGAATTGCATATCGTGATAGTTACTTGTCAGACAAGTTCCTTTACAAGTTATGGAAATCATTTCATATTATGTCTTGTCAAATCTTTCAGACGTATCTTCAAGAACACTTTCCTTGCATCGTGCTAAAGCCATAAATTCCAGAGGAAAAACCAATACATTTGAGAGAAATGTACCCCAAATCAGTTTCCTTGGAGAAAACGAACCGAACACAAACTGTAGGACACTTTGATTTTTGGAGAAAAATGTTAATGAAGTCAAGAATAAGAGGGATTATGAGAAACCAAGAGAAATGGGCCAACTGTTTACTGACTACAAGTTGGGGACTTAATTATGGCCATTTTTTTTTCAAATTACTTATCTGTAGAAATCCCTATCATTTCAGCAAGGATTTTCAGTCTCCATAATCGCTCACAGGACGGTGACACTCAAAGGTTTTTGATGCAAGGTTTGGTCAAAATAGAAGGTGACACCCTACCTTTGGGTGGGCGCTTTGGGTAGAAGTCTTGCTCCGACTCTCCATACAAATTCTCCACAAACACCCAGCCGCCAGTGTTTCCACCACCTACAAAACAACCATCCCAGCCCTTGTAAACATTAATAGATTTTAAGTAGCTCAGTTGAAACGTCACCTGTATAATTTCCACATGAACTTACTTTGTCAAGTAGACTCCTACAGATGAGACACGTCTTAACATGTCTTTATCAGATGGTAATACTACAACACATATCAATATGTACCTCATTTTACCAGAGATAAGTTGACATGCATTCCAAGAAGCATACCATGGCATTCCTTTAATATGTAAACGACAAGTGGCCAGCCTCTATTATCATTTAACGCACTGTCCAAGTCACTCAATTTGGGGATTTGGTTCCAAAAAGCCAGCTTTGGCATTCTCCAATGCACCCCATGTCACCAGAACTGTGGCGTCTGGCTGAGGCTGACTGGCGAGAGTTGTTCACTCAAAATTAAGAGGGATAACGTAAATTACTCTCAGTGAGCAGGGTTGACTGATGACAAGTACTTTTTTTTAAATTGTGTTTTTATTAACTACTCACCGCTTCCTGGTATCCGTCCCCTAGGAGCATGATGCGAAATTCCCCTCCCTGCAGAAAGACATATAAACGTAAATCCAATGGATATATTTACACTGTGACCGGCAATGCCTCATGAACTTAAACTAGCTGCATGTCTGAATACGCATTACAAACCACTATGTCATTTGTGTTAATGCTAATTTCCACATGCATGAGCAAAACACTGGTATCGCCAACACCAGAAGCTGTGCATCACAGTGCAAACAAAATAAAGAACTTTAAAGTTCAGTTCAGATAACAGCCCACCTCTGATGGGTCCAAAGTGAGACGGCTCTTCCTCAAAGTAATAATCTTCCATCGCTCCACGTCCATACCCACCTTAAAAAAAAACAAAAAAAGCAAAGGAACTCAAGAGGTGAAAGGACTCAACAAAGTTTTTAAGGATTTACTTTGTTGGTCAATCTGAGTGAACTAACAACCTCCATGCAGGGTCTGCATGTAGCATCAAGTCTATCAATTTATCTCTGACACACCTTGCCCTGGTCGCGTGCCTTGGGATGGATGCGATCCTCGTAACGGGGCTCCACGGCCTCTGGGATGATTCAATTTATAACCAGAGCCTGAAGAAAAAAGAGACCAGTGAACACAGAAAGCCTATTAGGTGAGACTGACTGTTGAAATGAGTTTGTCATAAATGACTCTGGACATTTATTTGAAAGTCCTTCTGCCAAATGTTTGTCTGATTCACGACAGTATGGCCACGTTTCAGTCTTCTATGGATTGAGGTTCACAACAAGAGGTAAAAGATTTCACAAGAGATTTCTCTTTTCAGACAGACCTTTTCCCAATGAAGAGAGCAAATATCTTTGTAGCAGGAGCTAACAGTTACCCTTGCAAGGCTTGGTACCTTTCTTTTGAAAGCTCTGCTTCAGTTTGGCGGTGTGCTTCTTGGACGGGTCCTGTTTCTCAGACTGAGGCAAGGGTGACGGCTGGTCCACCATACTCACAGTCAACCAGTGCCTCTTTATGAAGTGATCGTGCATTTCTGGGCAGGAGAGGAACAGTGGAGAATTACTGAACGAAAGTTAGAAAATGGCAGCATGGGGGCCTGTAAGACGGGTCTCTGGCCGTGGGATGGTTTGATGACTTACGTGCGAGTTTCTCAGCATCCTCGGCATTATCCAGCAATATTCTGGCAGCGCCTTCTGGCCTGATCATGGTGATGTATTGCACGTTGGCATGAGTGTTGAAATAGGCTCTCAAATCATCCATCGTAAGTGTGGTGTCTCGAAGTCCGGAGACATAGATTTCTTTGATGGGATGGGACTCCAAATGCATCCGTGACTGTGGAAGAGAGATGATTTCAAAAGGGTTAAAATAACATGTCTGGAGTATGATAGAATTTGTAAGGATCACAGAGGTGTTTTTATATCAAGATTTATTCATTTAACTCACTGGTCGGTGGAACACACGGTTGAAGACCAATTCTTTGTCGTGGATCCTGTGTGGTCCCTGATGATTCAAGATGGCACTGGTTTCGACAATGTTAGCCATGCAGATGAAGCCATAACCTTTGGACTTGCACTCTCCGGCCTCCGTCGCAGGCGGGTCTCTGATGATGACGCAGCTAGTGACGGTCCCGAAGGCGCTGAAGTAGTCCTCTATGTCAGCCTCCGTGGTTCGGTCCTTGTCCAGCCCGCCAAACCAAAGCCTGCGAAACTTGTCGTTGAGCTGTCGCAAAAGGAAGAACAGGATACGAATGACAGTGGTTTCGCTCATTAGCAACAGCATTTCCACAACAAAATGAACAAGCAATCGCGGATTGGTCAGGGTTATTAACAGTCAAGTTTAACAAGTTCAACATGACATATTTCTGGTGATTGTTTTTTCTTTTTGCTCTGGAAGGCATAGAGATTTTAGAAGGAATATGTGGGTCACGGTAATCATTCTTTTCTGGTAATTAGCCAAGAAAATAGGCAGGACCTGTTAACGGAAGAGAACAATGAATCACCCACAGTGTCGGAGGGGGGGAGGCATCCCCAATAGCAGTCAAGAGTCTCACGAGATCATGACTGATGACCACTGAAATCAACAACACAGGATGGCAGGATATCCAACCATTGGAGGGTTTGAAATCTTGCCTTCAAATGATCTTAATCTGTAACGTTGGGCATGGAATAAACCCATAGTTGGAACAGCCAATAAGACCAGACTCTCCGACAGAATGGAGTCCTCTCTCTGCGACAGAGAGGGCAATGGAGTCCTCTCTTTGCGACAGAGAGGGAGAATTGAAAGAGCAGACCTGATCAAACAGTTGCCGCTAAAGAGGCAATGCCAGCTAACTCGCTCTACTCAGTTCATGCCTGGAAAACCAAGCGCCATCTTCACATCTGTTCAGGTTTTACAGACTACAATCAGAGCACAATTGGCCTTGGACATGGACCAGACATGAGAGGTAGTGATTGCACTGTTGTGACTCCTTTTATAGAGTCGGCAGTCACATATCTCTGCCTCAGCATGACTGAGACGGAAACCACTTGTCAGTATGCTGGAGATCGTTGATGATGAGGAAAGCAAGAACGGATACCCGCTCTCACTGCCAAACAAAGTGAGCGAAGTAAAAGGCAAGTGGGTGTTCCAAACACCCCTGTATCTGTGCGTCAGTTGTGTTGAGGAATCACCTGCCAGGAAGCAATTATGACTTGTTTCAGTTTCCCCTCGTGCACATGTCAGAGAACACACTTGAATGCATAAGTGGGCCGCAACAGTTTCTGGCATGGCTGTGAGTTATTCAGCACAATAACTACTATATCACCAGGCTACGGCCAAAACTGCCAACAGAGAACCAGTTACGTTTGAAGGAAACAACAAACCATGGCCAAAAAAGGCCAAGAAACTGCGGTCTCTTCAAGCCAACACCTGAACAGTTTGCCAATGCTGTCTCATTCTTCACATCACTGGATCAAATCCATGCTGCAACAGCTTGGGTAGTAGTGTCCCTGGGGTGGACACTTTACTGCAATTTTGCCTGCTTGCCAGTGCGAGCATCAAGGCCCACGCAACGCCAATGGGGTCGAGCTTTGTAAAGCCACCATCAGGTCCTTGATGGATTTAGTCTCTGCGTGAGTCAACCCTGATCAATTCAACTATTACCCTGGAAATCACACCCTGGTCAGTCCAACGCCATCCTTCACCTTCTGACAACCTTGACACAGTTCCTAAGGTTCCTTGGCGCTTTTCAACATGAATACCTGCAAATTTCATCCACAACAAAATGTATGAAATCTAAACTACATGAGGAAAAGGAGTTACTGTCATTTCGGCTTTTTTTCACCAAAACTAGCAATTACAAAGAGGGCATAAGAGAACAAGATCGAACCACGACACTATTACTTAAAATACCGCGCTGGTGATTGCTTTAATTGGTGCGGAAATGGTGCTTGTGACCAAGCCTATTTGAACCAATAAAACTATCATCAGCATTGTTAAAACTTGTTCCCACTCAGTTTCAAAATGTGTTCATTGATGGAAACATTCAGAGTTGACCCCCGATATAATGCTTTTGAAATTGAAAAGTCTACAAAACATTTTAAGATTATTTTATCACAAAGCTTCTCACAATCAGAATTATTCCTCGATCAAAAATTGTAACGAGGTCGAGATGGGCATGAACAAAATTCCCTTCACAGCTGGAACGATTGGAGAAATCAAAATGGAAAACCATTTACTTGCTTATCGCTAACGGCCCGTTTGACTTGAACCGATTTTCCGTCCACCGTCTGACGGCCGTTGACGCATGCATTCAAGACGGCCTGTACATCCTCCTCCGTTGCCATAGTGACAAACCCGAGTCCCCTGGATACCATCTTGCCATTCACCTGCTCCTTGCCGATGGAGCAGGAGCTGACGGAGCCAAACTGACTGAAGCGAGCGGCGAGGGTCTCCTCCGTGGTTTTCTCAATGTCCAGGTTGCTGATGCAGAGGCGGAGTTTTCTCTCTGGTGCCTGATGGATGGAAGGGGAGGAGAGAAAAACCAAAGGAAAAGATCGAGAAAGGTTGCGCTGTAGATAAATAAGTCCTTCGATCTACCCTGGCAAGCCTGAAGTTGTAGTTATTACAAATACAGAACAGTCCATCTAAAGACAGAACAATGTTTTGTTTTAATAAACAATTTGGTGGTTCATCTCGACAACAGCAGTCACATTTCTTACGACATTTCTGAGAAGTCTGTGAGCACATGTATACATGTAAGTCGGATGAATTTTAATCATCACAACTTTTTTTCCATCTCAAAATTTACACCAAAATCATCTAAGACTTGGTCAACAACAGTCTTAATTAGAGTTTCAACATGACTGCTTTTTCTACTCACATCCAGCGGTCGGGAAACGTTGAGCGAGACCATTTTGTCGTCGATCATGTGGCTGTCTTCCAAGATGACCTCTGTCTCCGCCATGGTCGCCATGGTGATGAATCCAAATCCTCGAGATCTACCCTCCTTGCCATCTCTTCCCTTCTTCCTGGTGATGCTGCATTCAGTGACCGTGCCATACTTTTCAAAGTATTTCCGTAGGTCACTCTCGTTTGTCTTTGCGTTTAGGCCACCAATGAACAGACATGGGCCAACATCAGATGCCCTGTCCTTTAAAGAGAAATATCATCTTTTTTTTTACTTTCATGAATATCAGCGAGTTTAAAAAGGGGTCAGACATGTCAAAAATTGCAGGTTTGCTGTTCCCCTTGCGTGCCCTGGGAATGAACCCACTTTCCTTGCTAATTCTCCCCAAAATAAAAGAGACACATCTTAGACTTTATACAGTCTCTGGTGTTGATAAAACTTGACAATCATGGCAGTTGAATGCAAAAGTCTTTCAAAAAAATCAAACTGCTCAGTTTACAGAATTTAGGGGCCTAACATGTACTTTGAAAGAGGGTCTGAAAACAACTTGAAAATAAAAATCTTCATGAAATTATGTTTGGCTTGTTAAGTCAGCCATGCCTATTGTTGGCCATAAAGGAAGAGCTTGTCTGCTTGTGCATTGCAATTCAAAAACTTCAGCTTACTTCTTTTTCTTCATTTCCAGCCGAATCATGATCTGCTTCTTCCCCTTCCACTGGTTCAAGTTCTTCGTGCTTGTCTTCATCATGTTGTTCGCCCTGTGCGCCGGCTGAACGTAAGTTTTCGTCGTTCACTTCTGCCACTTTTGCTTCATCCATCATTCCCTCTGCCGTAACCAGGACGTAACGTCTGTCAGCAACTGGCTGCTCCAAAAAACCTCCTTAACACCCGCCCCTAAACAACTCTTTTTTCACTAATACAACAAACCTCTTGGAAAGCAGAGACCTTCAGAGCTCAGAGTCTGAAATATAGATGCCAAGACAAAGAGCTTAATGCAGCAAAAACTTATCTTCCTTGATACTTGCACTGATCAGCCGTCTCGTCAACAAGATTCCACCAAAATAAATTGCGCCCTCTGTTGACAGTCTCATTTGTTTACAATCAAG